CCGGCGGCGCCCACCGCTCGCCCGCGGGCACCGCCGGGCCACCTTCGCGCGCTCGGCCCCTGCCCGGGGGCCCCGCCCGCCGCCCTTTCTCGGCTGGCCCGGGGGCGCCGCAGGTGGCCGGCTGTGCCCGCGCCCCCGACCGCCGCAGGCCGGCCCCGGGCGCCCTGGAGGATCGCCCCCTCGCCGCATGGTTCGTGGGGCTGCACCTTTCGCGGGCATTTCCGGACGTTCGGCCGGCATGACCAGCCGCCGGGTTGCTCGGCCTGTGCGCTCGGTGCCTCCCCGCCGCGTCCCGCGGGGCTGCCCTGCGCCTTGGCTCCGGGCGCAGTTCCGCGCGCAGGGCAGCCGGCCCGGCGCAACAGCCCCCGCGCAGCTGGCGGGCCCCTCACCTGGCGAGCGGCCGCCGCAGGGCCCCCCGAGCCGCCCTCGCCCTCGCCCGCGCTTCCCACCGTCCGAAGTTGGGTGCCGGGGACAGGACAGGGCGTCCCGAGTGTGAGCACAGGCTGGGAAAGGTCTCCCCGGGAAATTCAAACCAGGTGGCAGTTTGGCGGCAGGTGAAGACCTTTGCCTCACCTAGCAGCCTGCTTTCGCTTTTGCTTATCCTGTTGAATTGGAGGAATGTTTTAAAGAGAAGCTTCTTGCTGTTTACCTCTTTGCTGTTTCTGTGTAGTGCTTTTAAAATATTTCAGATGTTATTACTGTTACTGTCTGCACTGCCTGTGAAGTTTATGTCAGGTTGGCACAAAGGTCAGTTTGCAACCTGAAAGAATTATGTATGGCTGAATACCAAGTTGGGAGAATAAGCAGGAAAAGGGTGTTTTGCATAATGCAAATATTGGTTTTACTCTTCAGTATATTTCTTTGTAGGTTTCATAGACTCTTCATCAAGATATCTTTACTCAGAAGTAATTGTGCCAGTAAAACTGGAATTGAGAGCTCCTTACGACAGCAAAGTAATTTTCCTTTCAAACAGTTTTTCTTGTCCAAGATACTACCTAAACTGTTTGCAGTTGATGATATCCCTCTAATGTCCTGCTTTCTAGACCTTTTGCACTCTTCTAAGCCATAGCCGCCTATAGCTAAATAGAAACGTGGGTTCAACCACATGTCTTACATGTAGCTGAGACAATTCAAACAAAACTGAGGGTGACTGAATTTTGTTTTTGTTTTAGGAACATAGAAAGAGAGCGAGTCAGAAGGGACATCCTGGGCCATCTAGTCTGACCCCCGGCTCCAGCTGGCTCTGCTCACGACATGCCCACCATGTGCATGTCCAGCCTAACTTTGAACACCCTCACCTTCCACCTCCCGGGGAAGCCCATCCCATAGCCTAGGGGCCCTAACCAGCCCATCCCATAGCCTAGGGGCCCTAACCAGCCCATCCCATACCCTAGGGGCCCTAACCGTCAGGAAGTCCTTCCTGGCTTCGGAATTGAACCTTGGTTCCCTGCCCTCCTGCTCGGTTTGCTCCTGTGTGTTGTGTCCCTCGCTGCTTCCTTGTTGCTGCTGTTGGGTGGCAAAGCAGTTCCACTCCGGTGTGCTCTAACTGGTCCCGTTGCTCTGGGGACTGAAAAACCGTTCGTTCGTTCTTTCTATGGCTGGGACTTTGCTTCTGCTTCAGCAAGACCCGCACAGACTTTAAGAGGTGGCGCTCGTGGCTGGAGGCGCACCGGCACTCATGCCCTGCCTGTGGGTGTCCTGCTGGGAGCTGCCCGGCCGCCTCCTGGACACAGGTGCTGAAAGGGGTGGATCCTTGATCCAGATGAGTCCAGCTTTTCCTGTGTTCGTGATGACAGTCTAGCGGCCTGTTTTTTCTGCTAATTGTACACACTCTTGCCTCCCCAACTGAGGGAAACCCCTGCCTGCACAGTTCAGTTTCGTGTGAACTGGGCTCCACGTGGGGTCACACAGCTCTGCACAGGTGTGTATGAGGGAACTGGGGGGTCCACACTAGGCCTTGGGAGTTGCAGCCCCACCCTCATAAGCGGCGGTGGAAGATGGTGCTGGCACCTGCACAGATCCAGCCCAAGGAGGCCTGCCCTCCAAGGATCTGGTCCCACCGCTTGATGGTACAGAGAGTAAAAAAATAGTTTTGCAGGGACAGGATGAGGGATGCTGCCCTTAATCTGTGGAAAGGAGCTTGGAGTTGTAATGGGCGGGCTGAATAAGGGCCGGCAGTGTGGTGCGGTTGCACAGGTGCAATTTTAAGCTGCATCGCTGGAAGGATGGTTTCAGAATCGCAGGAAGCCTTAGTTCCATTCTGCTCTGCACTGGTTGGACCGTGCCTTGAATCCCGTGTCCAGCATTGGGCATTACAGCTTAAGAGGACCTCAGGTGAATTTGACTCAGGGCAGAGAAGGGCAGCAACACTGATCGGGTGGCTTTCAAGTGAGGCCTGTGAGGAAAGATGGAAAACACGAAGTAGGGCTTGCTCGAAGAAGCGGCGACTTTGTGGGGAAAGAATAGCACTGCCCAAGTACCTAATCGGTTGTTGTAGAAAAGGTGGCTCCAACCTGTTCGTTAGCACCCAAGGCTACAGGACATGACAAAACGAAACAGGCCTGAGTCACAGGGAAGATGCATTGTACTGGTTGAAGATCAGGGGAAACTTCCTAATGATCAGAGTAGCCAAAAATGGAAGCTACTGGGCTCGCCACTGGACGTCTTCAAGTGGAGACTGGGCAGTTCCATGTTGGGGATGCTGTAAACCGGATTCCTGTGCTCAGTGAGGGGGTGGAACTCGATGCATGTGGCCCCTTCCGGCTCCATGATTCTGTGAAGTTCATACGCAGACGTTCCCCATCTGGGTCAGGTAGCAGTGGCCTAGGAGACCGCAAAATACCGTTCTTGGGACTTCATTGTAAATTTGCACCCATTTTATTCTCAAATCTATTCCTTTGTTAACTTCCGCTGCAAATACGTTTATGTGACTTACTGCTGAATGTTTTGTCAAGAACTAGACCCCAGGGTGCCTCCGGCTGTGCAAAAACGGCATGGCAGTGGGGCCAGAGGGACCCTCGGTGAGCGGGAGGCGCTCCCCCACAGCAACCACAGACTTGGATTCTGTGCCTAATGCTGAAATGGACTCGGTCCTCTGGATAGACGAATCCCCAAGATTTGGTTTCCCATCAAAATCGAAGTGCTATGTTGCGGGTTGCAAGAGTGCCCCCGTTCCAGCAGATCAAATGCCCAGCTGTCCGTTGCGACATTCGCCAGCCGCAGGGGCCTCTGGAGGTCATGACGGCAATGGATTTTCCCGAGTGTGAAGTAGCAGGAAACCGTGTTCCAGTTACCTATCAGGACTAGTAAATACGGATGGAATCGCCCTCCGTGCCCGGGTTTAATCCCCTTTCAAGACAACTAGAGGTGCCTCGTCTGCAACAGCTTTCGCCATCCTGCATTCTGTGGGTCAGCTCCCATCAGCTCTGTTCTCTTTCCCCACCTGCCCCATCCAAAAACCCATGGTGAATTCAGAGTGAATGGCTATATCAAAATATCAAAGCAAAATATCAAAGTATTAATTGACCTGTATCTTTCCCCATCTAACTTTAGGTAGATTTGTCTTATAAAATTAAAATGGGAGATGATGACAGAATCGTTCACCTTAAACAGCAGTAAGTAGCAGCTCTCTTCTGCCCCTCTTCTTTTGCGAAAGCAGCGAACGGTGTTGCCCCGGGACTCTTTGGCCCATTAAAGTCCCTGTCCCTGATGGCTCTGGCTGCGTGTGCAGAGCGACTTGGGGTTCCTACTAAGAGAGTGAGAGGAGGAAGGATCCCCACCCCGTTCTGTGCCGCACTCATGGTGGGGCGTGACAGCCGCACTTCGACACCATCGGAACGAAGGTTCGCCTGGAGGGTTGGGTGCAGCGCCGGCAGCGTGTGGCTGGCACCCAGCGCTGTCTGTCTCTCGCATCATGTTGCAGAGAAGTGGTGCCCCCCCCCCCCGCCGGCGGCTGGTGACAAGCCAGGGTGGCGCTTCACGCCTCTGATGAAACTCCCCATAGCAGCCAAAATCAGTGTCTTTCGGATCCTTTAGAGGATCTTGGGTTCTGCCTCGTTTCCAGGAATGCTCCAAACGGAATGGTTACATGTACTAAGTCTTGGTTTGGTTTGGTTTCGCAGAGCAAAAGGGCAGGTCTGAATTAAATTTCGGCAGTGGCGGAGACAGTGGGGGTGCGGTAAAGCTCCCGAGGGTCACGGTGCAGAAATACTGGCCCATTCAGAGCCGGAGGTGCTGCATTCTCCTCGGAGACTGGGCATAGCGCACTGACGTCTTCTTTTCAACTTTCAGATCTTTTATTACTACAAATATGCCTGTCTATACTTACAACGCAAAGGGAGATCTGATTGCAGATTACCCGTATATTCAGGTAAAATTTATCTATAAAGGTATTTATAGAGAAATGGGCATGTGAAACTTGAAAGGCTTGTGGGAAATCGAGGTGTTGGCAGGCTTGGCGCAAGCAGGACATCCATAGCACGGGGCATGTAGGGCTAGGACCATCTCTCTTCCTTGCCAGAAGAGCAGAGGCAGCAACTCCTTCAGCTCTGAGCACACTTTGGCAATTTGAGGAATCTTCCTGGGCATCGCCGGAGCCCGGCTGCCGCGAAAGGCACAGCCGACCACCCGGGACGCGCAGCCCGTCCAGAGGGTGGAGTGCGAGCCGAGGCGGGATCTGGGCTCCAGCGCACGACTCTCCGAAGTGGTCCCAAAAGAAATTTGTAAAGGATCGGTGGAAGGGGTGGTGAATGCTGGCAGGCACCGGGAGAGGTATTTGGGCTGCACTCGTGTTCCCAGGTGCCACATTCCCTGCCTGTCTTCCTTATATCTGGCTTGTTATATCCAGCCTCCTTGGGCTGAGCTGCTAACCCATGCCGGCTTGACAGTTACAGGCACTGGAGAAAGGGGGAAATTCAAAATAATATTTGGCGCAAATTATCCTTTCTGTAAAAGGCAGAACCTGGGAAAATGTCCCACATTTCTTGGGGGCCCCGTTTCTGCCGGCCAGGCCCGGGCAGCCGGTGGCTCTCCGAGTGTGTGGGCTTGTACCTGCCTTCACCCCAGGCACCGGCTCTGCCGGCCGGAGTTCGTGGGAGCCATCCCCAGAAACGGGGGTCTCGAGGGGCCCCGCTTCCCGCCCCGCTGTGGGCAGGTGCTGCTGGCAGGAGCGGCAGAGCGGAGCGCAAGCCCAGCAGGGGAGGGCTGGGCACGCTCCGCGGTCCCGGGCAGGTGCTGGCCTCACCTGCCCCTGCTCACTCGGCCGGCGGGGGGCGGGGGGAGCAGCAGGCAAGGTTGTTCCGTTTCCTGCTGGTCGACGGCTTCAGGTCCCCGGGATGGAAGGGAGCCCTGGCAGGCACCTCCTGCTGCCGTTGTCCGGCACCCGCCACCCGAGTTCGCGATTCGGGAGAAGGGGCCCGCCCCCTTTGCGGAGCCGGACGCGCCTGCTCGCCTCTCGAGCGTGAACCGTGCCGTGGGGCACGGTAAGCACCCTGAACGAGCGGCGTGCGAGGGGAAGCGTGTCCCACCGCGCTCGCATCTGTGCTGAGGCGTGTGTTTGGCCCCGCAGGACAACTGCTACTACAGCGGATTCGTGGAAGGGGCCGGAGACTCCCAGGCCGTCCTCTCGACCTGCCGTGGGCTTTGGTAATGAAGGCCTCGTGCCTGGGCTGGAAGGGGTATGGGCTGGGTTTGCACGAGCCGAGAATGAACCGATGCCGCGGCCGCTGCCTCCTGCTGCCTCTGGTGTGCCGGCCACGCAGCGGCCCATTTTCACACTCGCCCATGTAGGTTGTCACGTCCAAAGCAGGTAAGATGGGGGTTGGGCGTGACTTCCAGACCCCTGCAGCACGCGGCTTGCTCTGGGGTGCTGGGGCGGTTTGGGGGCCACCGCTCCAGCCCCCCCCCCGCTGACACAGAAGGGGCGAGCTGTGCGCATGGAGCCTCGTGCTGCTGTGTGTGGGGTCAGGGAACGGAAAGCGGGAGAGCTGGGGTCCTGCCACAGCATGGGCCTCTCTGTGCCTCTCCTGCGTCGGTGTGGGGACTCCGTGCCAGCCGTCGGGGTGGGGCAGTGCTTGGCAACCCCTGTCGCTAGGCACCCACTGGGGGACACCCTGCTGCTGGGGAGTGGTTTGCCCCACAGCTGCTTGCGCGCCAAAGTGGATCCAGCCCAATGCCTCCTGCGCCCCAGTTGAAGCGGTCACGAAACTTGCCCGGTCAGTCGTGCCGAAAGGAACCCTGAAACTGGCGGCGCGCGCACGCCTCCTGGCACCCCACACAGGCTCTGGGTTCCGGCCGAGCCTCGTCACTCATCGGTCCTGCACGTATGCTCAGAGTTGCCCTTTTCTGGTAACATCTTCACAAGAGTGAAGAGTGAGTCCTTCCCAATCTTGAGAATGGTGCTGCAAAGAGAATGGCCGGCTCATTCCAGAACTCATCTCTGTGCGCTCTAATTGGGCAATCAATTATGCAGAGCCGTTAGCTACATTCCCTTCTTCCAGAAGGGGAAAGTAGACCAGGAAGCAGTCGTGCCAAAGTAGCACATAAGAGCGTGTGCGTAATACAGAATAACCTTTACGTCACCTTTCTAAGAAATGAGTGCAATAAAATGGAAATGATTAAACCATGTGAATAATTAAACACGTGAAGAAATATTTCCTTTGGTATGTGCTGGCCTGCTCACCATTCCCTTTCACTGCATAACCTGGGTTAACTGTGAGAGAGAGAGAGAGAGAGAGCACCTCCCTCTGTCCGTTTGCTCTGCATGAATACTTTCATCGGTGTGCACTTCTATCTCACCCTGGCACAAACCACCACCCTCTTTCTTGAACTAAAGAATCGGGGCCCTGTCGCCGTGGGGCTGCTGCCCTAGCCGTGCGTTTGGCGCCGCTCGCTTGTGCCCTGACCGCCTTCCTTGCTGGCCAGCCTCTCCCCTCGGAGAGCTTCGCCTTCCCACACAGCCGCCTCTGGCCAAGCAGCCGCCTCTCCCCCCCCCCCCCCCCCCCCCCCCCCCCCACCCCCGCCGCCGCGCCCCCCCCCCCGTTCATGTGCAAGCTCTGCGTTGCAGGCGGCCTCGGCCCTGGCAAGGAGCTCGTGTGCTCCAGCGCTTTGAGGCCGCTGCCAGGTGGCGAGCAGCGATCGATCGTTCTCCCGAAGAGCCCCTCGCGGAGCAGCACGGGTGGCGGGGGTCCGCTTGCCCGAATACGCGTGGGAGCAGTTCTGCTTGTACCGGCTGCAGACGCGCTGCTCCGTGTCGTTACGAATGGACGTGTGAACACCGTGGCGAACGGGCAGGCACTGGTGCGTCGGGGCCCGGGCCCGGCTGTTGCGTTTCCTGTCTTGTTGGCCCTAAGTCTCTATTTTGGGTTTTCCCCCTCCCCAGGGGACATGTGGAAATTGGGAGTTTAAGTTATGAAATTGAACCTATTGAGAATTCTCCTACATTTCAACACCTTATTTATCGAAAGACTCCAGAGCCGCGCGAACCTTGCAGAGGGGTTGTTGAAGGCAGAGCAGATTTGACAAGTGAACTCATAGAACTGAGAATGGTTGATGCTGACGACCCGGTTCCTCCTCTCGCGGACGTAAGTCACATTTGGTGCTGTTTGCCTGAACCCGTGGCTTCCGTGGAGGGATTCCGAGAGTTGCTAAAGACGCCAGGCCGTGCTGGGCAAGCTTCCTGGTGTTGGTCAGGAACGGGGAAGGAGGATCCCTTTCTTCTCGATGACCCCGTCTTCGCAAGGCTTCCCCACAAAATAGCTACGGACAGGCTGAGCCCGTCAGGATGTAAGTCCTGACATAAGCTCGATTGCCCGGCTGCTTGGGGAGTTTATGGGCTCTGATCAAAGATCCTGTGAGCATTTCCAAATATAAAAAGGAATGTATTTGGAAAATGTGAAAAACAATGGAAGGCAACAGTCGCTCATACTTGCACACTCAAGTGCACACGTATATACAGAGTCCCAATAAAATCGGTCGGAGTCAACGTAACTGAACAATGTAGGTGTGACCTACCTGAGCAGGGTCTTGGGTTCCAGAGCACATGTTGCTGTTGTACTTCTTGTGGCTACCATGCCCATCTGGGTGGGTCACAGCCAAACGGCATGTTGTTCCGTGCTTCACTGCCGCCCGCCCCGGCTTTTCCAAGGCTAGAACCCTCCACAGGCCTCCGTTCAGAGAGACCTGTTTTCCTTCCATCGCCAGAGATGAAGCTTCACCCAAGTCCCCCGCCGAGTCCAGGAAGCATCTGCAAGCTCCGTACACTCATTCCGGGGCCTAACAAGGAGCAGCAGCATCCATAAGAGTCGCTGGCTCTGACCCAAACGGTTGACTCGCGCTTGGTCGGAGTGGCCTGTTCCAGGATCTCCCGCTGCCGACCAGGCCAGGACAACGGGAGGGCATTCCTGAACACTTTAATGTGGAACCAGAGTGGAGAAATCTGAGGGGATTCCCAGCTTTTGTCAACCAGCCAGTCTTCGTCTAATTTTTGTCAAGCAGCCAGGAAGTCCAGTCTTTTTGGCTGCTCTTCCTCTGAAGTCAAGTAATTATAAGTGCTCCTAAGCAGTCATTTTCTTTTCCTCCCAAATCCATACAGTTCTGCTGTGCAGCCCTCTATTTTTATCAGCACCACACTTCCTTGGCTGCAAAGTTTTTCCGTTTCCTGCTTTGCCATTCCCATTGCGCCCCTCGCTTAATCACGGGGGGAAATACCGTATAGATATATGGATATAGTTGGTTAATAGAGCTTGAACTTCGGCAGGTGGGGCTATCTGTGGTGAGGGAGTGGCTTAGATCATGGTGCATTTGTATAATTATGTCTCCTAGCACAGCTTTCTTTATGTATGTTTCCTTCCAGGAACATGATGCCGATCACTATACATCTAACAGATATCTAGAATATTATGCTGTGGTTGACAGAAGCACGGTAAATGTCATATATAACTATTAGCATAAATGATACCCACAAATTTAGGGTTGTTTGAATCCCAGTTAAGGCAAATTTATTTATTTATGTAAAGTTTTTCTAAAGTTTTACAATAAAGCAAAACACAGCATCATCTTCTATAAAACCCCAAATAAATTAACAATTTGAACCTTAAAATATTGGGAAAATGAAACGGTTTTGGCCTGGCGTTGAAAAGAATAAAGGGTCAGTGCCAGGCGAACCTCTCTGGGGAGCGCATTCCATAACCGGGGCGCCACCACAGAGAAGGCCCTTCTCCAGGTAGCTAATCTCCTAATCTCCAAAGAGGGCTCCCAAATGAATATTGAGAGATAAGCATTGGATTTTTACATTGGGCCACAAATATTCTCCTTGACTAACAAGATGAACGCCCTGAATATTTTATTTAAAGACAGCCATGTGATTGTCCACAGGAGCTGCAGTGGAAAATGTGGGATGGTTAGGGTTTCTTTGATACAGTTCCAAGAATGAACGGAGGCCCGGGCAGTGGTGCAATGTATATAGACATCTCGTATATGGTAGCATAACTTTATATATTGGAACAAAAAACGTGCAAACGAAGAAAAGCTTTAACGAAAGCTCATTTCACTCTGAGGAGCTGTGGCATTTGACACTGAGCTGACCGCCGCCTTCTCCTCGTTTTTTGTAGTTCGTTGCCAATAAGTGCAATGAGACCCGGCTGGTATTGATCATGCTCCTTATGATGGTGGATGTTCACAGTGTGAGTACGTTTTATGAGACCTTGTTGTTGTGGAGTGCTACCGCGCTGTCTCTGACCTGCGGCAACCCTGTGGCGAGGCGTGCATGTAAAAGAATCACACCAAATGATTGCCAGAATTCAGCCATAACCCAGATGGCTGCACCTGCTGGCAACAGACCAGCCCCCTCCTTCCCCAGAGGAACAGCCCCCCCCCCCCCCGCTCAAGGAGCCTCTGCCCAGTGCCCTGCGGGAGGACCCAACCAAACTGGGTGTCAAAGATGGGGAAGTGTGTTGATGATATCACCGTTTTCTTGAAGCGCCCAGTCTAGTCCTTGCCTTTACATTTGAGAATTTGTTTTCACACGAACACATTTTGCAGAAAGCTCTTTTCTCACCGCAGCGCAGAAGCGAAGGGGGAAGAGGGTTGCCCAGCCTCTCTGCAGTGCAGGCAGGGCCGAGCGGTAGCCTGGAGCGCCGAGCCAAGGGACCCCCAGACCTTCCAGGACACACACAGCATTTTGAAAGAAGGGCACTCTGTTTTCAGCCCTAAGCCTGGAACTTGGCCCAGGAAGAAGTAAGAGCAAGCCGAAGGCTCTGGAATTCGCTCTGAGGTTCACCTGGAAGGAAGGACATGCAGCTGCCGAGGCAGAGATCAAGTTTATTAACGGGGAAGGGATAAGAGGACGTGCGAGAGCAGGGGACCTTCAGAACGCGCTCCAGGCGAAGAGCAAACCTATCCTTGTAGGTCTTCCTGTGGGACAGGACTCAGAAGCATGAAAGCAAGTTAGAGCATGGAGCTCCTTGACTCCCCCTTCTTTGCTCAGACTCTTGGCAATCCAGAGAAGATTTCATTGCTCAACTACCAAGGATTCCGCATCCGATAAAGAGGGTAGATGTGCAGCTAAACTAATCCAGTCCCGGTCAACTGATCCATGTCCTGGCCTGAAGGATCTCCAGAGAGTAGATCCATAAGCGGTTATGTCCTTGCATGTCACCGCAGCTTGGCCAGATGTCTGGAAGAGCCGAAATGTTCATATACATTGTCAGCAGAAGGATGCTGATAATGGCATTTTTAAGGCGGTTGAGGCCCTGCTATGGATGGGGCTCACTTTTCTTTTCAGCCATCAATGGAAAGGCATCCGTTTCCGACGGCAGGCTGACCATGTCCAAGCACGCACGATATAATCAGTACTTACTGATTATAATCAGCAATTACACTTATAATTACGCTCACCAATTGCTGATATAATCAGCAGTTACACTTGTTAAGAAAATAAAAGAGTAAGGTATCTGTTGTAAAAAAGTCAAGAAAAAAGTCGTAAATGACTGATGCGGATGAGTGAGCTGAGCTGGGACCAGAGCAGACGGTCCCGAAGGCCGTGCGCGGGGCTCTTGATGTTGCCAAATAGCGAGCACAGGGTGTAGCCGGGAAGCGGACTTCCCACATCCAGTGGGAATGGGAGGTGGGGCAGAGTGCTGGGGGCAAGCACCCCCTTCTGCAGGCGGATGGGGCATCCTGGGAAGCCGGCGCTTTGCCCTCTAGGCTCGCCTGCTGCCTTTGGGTGCTGAGGAGGAAGCGATCCCTTTGCGGGTGCTGGGCCACGATTCAGCTGCCAGACTGAGCTGGGTGGGTGCAGAGGGGATCGTCCAGCCTTTGCCTGCGGAACCAAAGCGCCTTGGACCAGCCTGCCCCCCCCCCCCCCCCCGTCAGCTACCAGTCCGCAATACCATGAATTTCATTCAAGGCAATGATTGGGCTTTCTCTGTTTCCAGGTGTTTTTGCCGTTAGGTCTCCGTATTTATTTGGTTGGTCTGGAACTGTGGACCGAGAGAGACTACATACCAATCAGCAGGAAAAATCTTGGCACAACTATGAACGCATTTTACAAATACGCGCATTATGAGCTTCGGCACCGTGTCCATTTTGATCACGCTGCCATAATTACGTAAGACTCCTCCACTCTTTCCCATTTCAAAATGCCTGATTCACACCTGATTTTTTTTCTTTCCAAGCAACGACCAGCCCTTAGGGAAACCTGCTGGTCCTCTCTGTCGCCCTTATGGCTGCTGAAATCACCAGTCAGAGACTGGATGCACGCAAAAGCAGAACCGCGTGGCGGCCCCTGCTGTCGGGGACGTCCTGCTCCGTGTGTCCACTGACACGTCCGCAGAGCCTTGCTTGCCTGGCGCTTTTAACAGGGCGGGTTGCACAGGGCGGGCCGCACCCAGCGCCTTCCTTTGGCGCTGGCTCACCATTCAGCACGATGCTCACAGCGTCCTCTTCCGCAGAGCCTTGCCGCGCCCGCAAGCTGGCGGGACAGTCCAGGAGGCATCCGGCAGCCAGCCAGGGGCCCCGGGAGCTTGTTCGCCAAGCGTGAGGCGGCTGGCCCCTCCTGTGCTCGCCCTCCACACGTGCCGGCTGAGCATGGAGGCTCCGTTGCGCCATGGCAATGGATTGTCCTAAATCTACGGCCCTGCGGTTTCCATGCTCTGCCTGCTAGGAGAATCGGATTTTAAAACGTGCGTTTGCCCCCTCTCTCACATGGTTTATAATTTTATACAGTCGCTTCCTTAGAACTAACGCCATTTCTTCTCAACTTGTACGTATTTACATAAATGGATCTTGCGGGCACATCATAAACCTCTGATGTTTCCAGCTTATGGAAATCGATCTTGGAAAGTTTGGTGTTGGAACAGCAGCCCTGTGGGGGCAGGACCCCAGTCAGTTTGGAGTAGGGATGTGCAAGGATTCTGACTTGGTGGAGGGCATCTCTCGGATTCCCCCCCCCCCCCCCAGCTCTGCTCCCTGGGCTCTGGACTGTTTCCTCTCGGTTCTCAGTGTCCTTGCGAGTGTCTGCCAGGAACTGAGTCCCTGACTTGCCATCCTCGAGCGTGTGGTGCGTGTTGCAGGAGGTTTCCGGGGCGTGCAGAGTCTGCGGGCTGCATCTCGGCCCGGCTGCCTTCTGAGCCAGGGCCGAGCACAAGAAAGAGGTCCCATGAGTGCAGGAGAGCCAGGTTCTGGGAGCATTGTGAGACTTCCGTTCTGCGAGCAGAGGAGAGGAATCGTGCTGGAGGCCTCCGTGCCCGGAGGCAGGAGCCACTCTCCCCGTCTAGCGCAGACGTTCCTCGCACTGTGCCGACCACGCGTGGCGCTTGGCCCCTTGCGCACACACAGCTCCTTGCCCGGAGGGGCTTGTGGTCCAGGGCCTGGGGTGCCCTGGTGCGGAGAAGGTGCGGGGCAGGCACAGTGCGCACGCTGAGTCCGTAGCCACATGGAGCTCTCTGGCGTGCGTAAGGCGGGAAGGGGACTCAACCCCGGGACCAAACCTTCTGCTCTTGTCCTGCCGGCCTCCTGCCACTCGTTCTGCACCCTCAGAATAACTGGCGGAGAGGTGACTTCAGGCGCTCCCTTGCCTGGGGTGGGCCTATTTCTTCAGTCCTGTTACTCTTCCTTCCCGCTCCGCCTAACTCCAGTGTAACTCTAAAGAAGAGCAAGGGGCGCTGCCCGTCAGCTTGGGCTCCGAACGGCACTGCAGGTTCTCCTGGCTCGGGAGCGTGGTCCAGTTTTAATCCTGGTCCAGCTCACCTCCCCCAGATTTCATTTACTTTTTTGAAGCTTCGCTGTCCTGCCCTTTACAATGTCTCAGGGCAGTAATACAACAAAATAAGATGAAGCATCCAAATGGTCATAGATAAAATCCAATCTCAAAATACTGCTATTTAAAATAATGGGAAAATAAAAAGGGTTTGGTCTGGCGCCGAAATGAAAAGTGGGGAGCCCGTTCCAGAGCTGTGGCGCCACCACCGAGAAGACCCTTCTCCGGGTCGCCACTCTCCCGATGTCCTTCAAAGAGGCCTCCCGAAGAAGGGCCTCCGCTCCACATCTGGGGGACCAGGAAGGCGAGAACGAGACATTCAAACCAAGAAGTGTTTTCATACCCTTTTATCTCATGTCCGTGGGTTGTTGCGCCCCGAAATGTGACCCAGTCTTGTGTTCTGCTCCAGGGCTAAAGGGGACCCTGCTGGACTCGCCTGGGGAGACCGGTTCTGCCTTCACTCCCACGTTTCAGTGTCTGCCGTGCGTGTAGGTGATTATCACTCTCGTAACGCCTGTGCTAGCAATGCGTCTCTTAAATTCTCTGGCTGCTGTGGAGGGGGCAGAAATAAGGTGGCTCCTGGGCGCACACTCCGTGGGCTTTCCCACCAGTTCCGCCACCCCTTTCCCATCAGGAAAGTCCGTGAAGGAAGACAAGACGGGTGGCAGCGAGTGCCTTGTAATCGTTAGTGCTTCGCCTGCTCTGCCGCAGAATATTCTAAATGCCCGAGCCCACTGCTCCTCTCGGGGTCCAAGCGGGCCAGGACCAAGGCAAGGGCCTGCTTTGCAGAGGCTGGAGCTGCAGGAAAGTGCGGAGCAAACTCGGAGAGCAGGTGGCTCCGGCCAGGAATAAGTCGGAGAGCCTGCCGCTGTAGGGCTGGCAGCAGCCCCTTGCGACAAGCCGTGCTTGTTTGGGGACGTTTTGATGAGGGATTTTCCCGTTCGGCTGCATCATAGATCAGCAGGCGGCGTGTCTGAGGCCACGTGCCAAGAGCACACTGTGACCGAGGAACGAATGAGCGTCCCGGTGTAAACACAGCTGTTGTGGCCAGAGGACCCTGAGAGCGGATGTGTCTGTTCATCTTTTGCAATTCATCTCAAGCAGTTTCTGCACGATCCAGATCTGATACGAGAGCACAGAAGAAATGCAACAACGCACAATTGTGAACAATCAACACCCATTTTGAAAATGTGTAAAGTTTAGTTCCAAGAGCGCTGCTTTGACAACAATACGATATTTCATCTGTGTGGCATTGCTAAGCATGTAGGCAAAACAGCAGCGAAGGCCACAAGTTTGTTCTTTTGAGGACAGACATAGGATCCCGTGAGAACCGAAGTCTGCTTCCATGAGAACCAATTACTATTATTGTGTTATATTCTGCCATTTTTCCTCCTGTGAGGAACTCAAGGCAGCTTACAGTGCCCCATTTTATCTTCACAGCAACAACCCTGTGAGGTAGGCTAGGCTGAGAGAGAGTGACTGGCCCAAGGGCACCCAGGGAGCTCCATGCCAGTGGGGACTACGGCCTGGCCCTCCCGGTTCCTCCTCTCTCGGCCACCCCACACGGGCTTCCTGTGCTCGCTTCTGGAATTCACCGAGCGGCTGAGTCAGAAGGGGCTGGGGAGGCCATCAAGTTCAGCCCCCACCAGTGCGGGACACCAGTCACACCATCCCAGCGAGATTGTTGTCCAGTTGCCTCCCAAGTGCCTCTGGTGCGGGGGAGCACGCAGCCCCTCTTGGCAGCAGCTTCCACTGTCAGGAAAGGCTTGCATTTTGCATCTCAGATACAAGGTGTTTTTAGTCATGGTCATGTCACTCCTTTCTGCAGAACTGATTTTTTAAATGATAAGTTGTTATTTTTTAAAAGTTCTCAGCTATGATTCGGGAGCAATATATTTACCTTGTAGCTTGCCAGCTTTTCTGTGAGCATGTCCTTAAGTTCAACCTCTCAAACCTCCTGCTTATTTTTTTTTTTAATTCTGTACGTTCACTAATTCGCAGCTTTCTTATCTAAAGCCTTTTGTTAGCCTTTCCTGACTTCCGCTATGAGAAGCTAATCTCTCCCGTGGCAGTCCGCCATGTCAGGGAAAGATGCATGCGAAAGCCGCCGCTCGTCAGCACAAGCGCTTTGAGCAGAAAGCCTCGCTCGAATCGGGCGGATTCATCCGGTGGACGGGACTCTGCCTCATTAATCTGTTTGCTTCTCTGTGTGGATTGCAGTTGAGGATTTAGCAGTGTGTGGGAGCGCGGTGGAGCCCCAGGAGCCCCGTGTTTGGGAGAGGTGCTTGCAAGGCATCCTGTTGCGCAGTGTGGCACAGGCCGGGGCTTCCCGAGGCGGGTGCCTGTCCCACGAGGCAAGACGGGAAGACGTGCTGCCCGGAGGACCGGCAAGGCCGAGGGACGCTCGAGAGGCGGTTTGCTGGGGCAGGAGTAGGCGGCCCTTTTGGCCCATGGACACGGGGGTGGTTGGGAAAACGGCTCCCCCCCCCAGCGCGAAATGCCTGGGTGCAAGATGGAGGCGGGAGTCATCCCTGCACGTTAACGGCTTTCGGCAAGAACAGGAACCCCTTTCCCCGAGGAGCTTCCTTGTCTTTACCCCAGGCCCAGAGCAGCCCACTGAATCCTCCTTTTCTCTCTCACCCTGGATCACCTGCCCTAGATGCACTCCCCACCCTGCACACACACACACGGGGGGGGGAGACCCCCCATCTCCCTCTGGATCGCAGCCCTGTCCTGGCTCTGAGGCCCAGCATGTAGCCCAGAGACTTTCCTGGGAGATGGAGACAGCTGCAGCCGGAGCCGGGGTCAAGAGCGGGGGGCACAGACCCCTCATTGCCACCTCTGTGTTGGGTCAGCCGGGCCTTGCCCGTCCCCTAGCCGAACCTGCCCCCACGCAATCGCACACACGACTCTGCCAATCCAGCCTGTGGAGACGCGTTGTTTGGCTCGAGAAGTAAACGTCCCGTTTAGCCTCACCGTTAGCCTGTCCTGATTCTGGTCTGAGCAGATGGTGAAGGTCAGACCAGAAAAGAATGCCCACCAGATCGTTTTGGTGCTGCTTGAATCCCACCCTGCACTTTCCCCGTTTTTCATTTTTGTGCTGCTTTGGTCTTGTGATGTCTTCACCTTGACCCTTGAGGATAGGGCGGAGCAGAAATGTGCAGAGGAATGAGCAGAAATGGGGCAGGGCAGAGCCCCAGTTACCTCCGTGGGGTCAGTGGTGGTCACAAAGGCATTTTCTGGCAGCTTTTGCCAGAAGCACGGGTACAGTGCCGAACCTGCATCGATTGAGAGAGCTCTGCGTCTTTCACGGCCTCTTCACTGCCATCCTTCCTTTCCTCTGACTCGCCGCAAACAGACGCACGTGGACCCCGAGTCTGATGCCACGGTCATGGCGCACGAGCTGGGCCACTCGTTTGGCTTTGGGCACGACGACACGCCAGCCGGCAAAGCCCGGGGCTGCGACTGCGGCTGCTCCATGCTCGGCAGCTGCCTCATGGCGGCGGCAGGCCCCGGGTGAGTATCGTTCTGCTTAAAACGTATTTTATAATGTTAATGTGTTCTATATTTTTAGTGTTTTATGTTTTAACTGATGCTTTGTAAGCCGCCCGAGGCTTCGGCGAATGGGGCGGCATAGAAATTTTTAAATCAATCTATCAATCAATCTGCAGGCAAGCGAAGACTAATGTGAGCCCCCTGCTTGCCCGCAACCCCTAAGTGGCTTCTTTCCTCTCCGTGTTTCCTTCCCAGCCCTGACGGTGGTGGGTTCAGGGGGCCGTTTCAAGGGGATAAATCTGCGTTGGGTTCTTTCTGCGCCACTCTCAGCTGGCCCAGAAAGGACCTTCCTGGCCACCCCTCGGGGAAGGCAGAGCAGGGTTCGGGGAGGGGTGAGGCAACGGGGGGGGGGCAGCCGGCACTCGGTGTCTCCTGCGTCCTCGCCTTCCTCCCGTGACGCACCATCGGGAGGCCGTGGAAACGGTCGTCCCGCAAAAGCGCCCGCAGGAGGAGCAGGCGGGCGAGGGCCACCCCTGCCGGTTGCCCTGCTTCACCGGCTGCTGCAGCTCCAGGCCAGGTGCTTCTGGGCAGCACAGGCAGATGGGCCCCGGGAAGCCTGAGGGCTCGGCTGGTGCCCTTCGGTCTGACACAAGTGGGGTTCTGCAGGAGCTGGGCTCGCTCGCGCTCCTTTTGCCGAGGCTTGTGCACTTCGCTTCCTCTGATGTCCTGCCTGGGGAAGAGCCAGTGCGGATTTTGTGTACTGGGAGAATAATGGCCCAGCGCGCCCAGAGCAGCATCCGGGTGGTGACTTTTCTTGTGAAGAAGCAGCAGCACTTACGATTTCTGAAGGGCGTTCTAAAGATTCATTAAATTGCAAAAACACGGGTTAATGGGCTGCGCGGAGCTCTCTCTCTGGCTGGATTCTGCCTCACTGTGCCAGCGGGGAAGAGCATCCAGCTAAGCTCAGCGCACACACAGGCGGGTCATGAAGAGTGCACACACACCTCAAGTTCCGTCGCAGGTTTCCTTGGGACAAGAATAGCAATTTGCACACGATTTATATCAATACTGCCTGGTAATGATATAAGTTAATACAGTTTTATGGAGACCATTGTATAGTATAATATTTCATATATGTATATATAGCTTACAATTTTAAATCTAAGCAGTTCAACTAGAAGTGACAGCACTGGCCTTAGCAAGGTGGCAGCTTTCAGGCGGGCGATGCTTTGTCAGGAGAGTAGCTGGAAAACTGGACATGATTTGTTCGGTAAGCCGCCCCAAGGCTTTTTGCGAATGGGGCAGCATAGAAATGTTTTAAAGAAATAAAACTGGACCTCCAGCCTGCCCACCTAAACGCAACACCTGCGCGTCCACGTCACAGCACGGAGTAGGTACCTTACCTTTGCTCCCAGGTGGCAAAGTGAGTCCTCCTGCCTCGACTGGGCAGTAGCGCAAGAGTCCTGCAGCAGCTACTCCCAAGGAGTACCTTCTCGGCTTAGATCCTGATAAGCAGCTTGTTTGTTCTCAGATGCAAATACATCTGCCAACGGTGGTCACAGCAGTAGCGGAGCTTCCCAAACGACTGAGGCGGTTCCCCTCGCGGACCTTCCCGCTCGGGTCCTGGCCGTGGGGTCAAGAGACCCCCTGCGCCGGACTGGCTGCGGCTGCCCACAAAGCAGCTGAGGCTGCCTCAGGGATGCGTGTGCCGCAGAGGGGCCCCAGCAGCTGTGTGCACGGCAGGAGGGGGAGCTGCGCTGAACGGACCCTCGGGGCTGCCCCGGTGGCCCAGCTGCTCCGAAGTATCCTGTGAAGGGAGGGCAGATCGTTGGGCGCTTGGCAAGTTGCCCTTGGCCAAACTGGACCCCCGTTCCGTCTTGCCGAGTCACCTGCACCTGCCGTAGCTGCACCTGCTGGTGTCTCTGCCATGCTAGCTGGGGGCTGGCTTATACAGGCTGGCCGTGCCTCTCCAGGGCTTCAGCCGGGTCCTTCCTCAGCCCTACCAGGAGGTGCTGACAGCTGACCCTAAGACCTTCTGCATGAGGCGCACACGGTCAGCTCCTGAGCTCCAACCCCTCTGCTGCTTGGAAGCGACACTCTATCCCTACCTTGGGACAAATGGCTGCTGCAGCAGAGAATTTGTTCTTTTCTGTAGGTTTCGCATCTGTCTCTAGTCCCTACTGATGGAGCAAGTGGAAGAGTGCAGTGTTGTATGTCTTCTCCCAGAGGGTTTTACTGTTTGAGCTGCTGTTGCTCAGGCTGGCTCTCCTTGTTTTCTTGCTTTGTGTTTCTGCTGTGTCAGAAAGTTTTGAACTAATAGCGCCATCCTGGATAATAATGTGTTGTGTTGCAGGAAATGTAAAAGACTGAGCAACTGTAGCAGGAAGGTCTATTACAGTACCATAAGCAAACCAGGAAAGGAATGCTTGCTTGACATACCTGCCAAAATATTCCGGAAGGAAGTGTGCGGAAATGGCATCATTGACGACAGCGAAGAGTGTGACTGTGGCCGCAACGAGGTTAGACCTTTGGACTTTCAGAACATAGAAGGCTTTGTTAAAGTGTGGGTGGCCCTCCCCTGGCCTTTGGGTGGCTCCCCTGAATTAGCTTCCCTGTGAAAAGACTGCTTTTGTCTTTTCTTGTTCCTGCAAATTCCAACAAAATTAAACCGTAAGAACAAAAGGAAAGATGTCATTACATTAATTTGAATATATTGATTTCAGCGGATACATATGGAATATAAATATAGAAGTACATGCAAATATATGTATATATGAAAATACAGTTTTCTAATAAATTAAACAGCAACTTCAGCAAAGGCAGATCAAATATCCATATATTTGTCCGTCCGTGAGATGCCCTCATTCAAGTCTGGAAAGCACTGTTAGGTCCTTGGTTTATAGCAATACAGCAGGTAAGTGTATATTCTTCCAATGCCCTTTAGCTCTCAAAGGGGCAAAGCAAATCCAGTTACAACTTCCAGGAAGCAGTTGGAATATTAAGTGCATATCATTCATACGAAAGAGTGTCCCAGTGCAAAGTTTATCTGTCTTGCACCCTCCTTCCCAAGGGAGGCAACCGCTGAGCATTGCCAAGGCATTCGATTAAGTAAAGCATTAGCCGTGTTACCTCCAGCAATTAGCCTTCTTGGAAGAACCCTTATTAAGGAGAGATGTTGCCATCCAACATGGAACAGGGATTTTTGCTGAGTAAGACAAGCTAAGATACGTACGTAGGTACATTAGAGGTAATCCATTGATTAGGCGAACTGGGACAGTCTAGTTCCTTATTCCGTTCCTGTGTGAGGCTCTGTCTCTCACAGTTTATAAATAGGTATTTATAAACATGGAGGAAGGGTTGATAATACTGCAAGCCAGTAGCCCCGTGGGAAGAAAAGGTGAGCGCGCTGGAGCAGCGAGTGTCCACCCTCCAGGAAATAAAAGAAGACGAGGAGTTCTTGGGCAGAGTGGCGTGGCGGAGCTGCAGCAGCTCAGGGCAGTGCCGAAGCAAGGACAGCAAGCTGAGGCAGAAGAGGAGAATCCTGAGGGAAGGGGAGATGAGGGGGAAACTCCCTGCGAAAAGGTGACTGTTAAGAGCAGAAGACACTCTGCACCAGGGGAAGCTGTGGGGCTCTTGACCTGTTTTCGGTTACGTGAGGATGAGGCTGGAGGGCAGCCTGCTGTGGCAGGACTTCAGGGCACCCCACTCAACACTGAACAAGAGGCTCAAGGTCAACCAAGTAGTGGCCATGATTCCACGAGCAAGAAGAGAAGAGTGTCAGTTGTGGGAGATTTCCAGTTGTGTGGGATGAAACACCTGTATGTCAGGGGGACCCACGGACTCATCAGGTTTGCTGTCTCCCTGGATCACTGGTTGGAGAGATGGGTGATAGGTTATCTCCACAGTATTCCCACACTGCGTTAGGGAGGTCACCCAATCAAACAGTGAGATCAGATTAATCTGGCAGGATTTGTTCTTGAGAAATCCATGTTGGCTTCTAGTAATCACTGCATTGTTTTCAAGCTTTTAGCAGGCTGACTGCTTTATCATCTGCTCCAGAATTTTCCCAGGGATTGATGTTGGACTGACTGGTCTCTAGTTCCCAGGTTTCTCTTTTTTCTTCCCTTTCTTGAATACAGGGACAAGATTTGCCCTTCTCCGGTCCCCTGGCACTTCCCCTGTCCTCCATGATTTCTCAAAGAAAATAGACCGCGGTTCTAAGAGTTCTTCTGTGAGCGCCTTTATGACTCCAGGATGGAGTCATTGGGCCCTGGAGGTTTGGACTCATTCAGCCCAGTTAGTTGATTCTTGACAGCAGGGACAACCTGGATTGTAAGAAATGTTGCATTTGCCATTCAGCTGCGACAGGCGAATCATATAAAGCCCCAAATGAGAAAAACTCCTATTCAGTACCCAGTAATTGAACCCAGTTAAAAATAAGCTTGTGCATCCAAGTTTTCCACAAAAACAAATTCTTAACCATTTTTAAATCTGGATTTCTCCATTGATTCAATTTAGTATGTGGGTAAAGGACTGAAATATAACTGTCATTGAAATTTTATGCCACGCATTTCTAGCAACTGTAATGGCAGAAGGAATCCAGTCCGCATTATTCTGCGATGAACTTAATGCCATTCATTTGGAATTGAGGATTCAGGTGGGAAGATACCACAACTTGCCAAGGTGGAAAATCTAATCTAGCTCGAAAACTGCAGATCTAGGACAGGTCAACAAACAGACCCAAGGACATAAACCAAGATCCAGAAAGCGAAACTGACCTTCTTTCACTGAAAGTTGCAACATTTTCCAGGATATTTACTGTTGGATGGAACTGCCCCCCAATATACAAAAAAGAACATGATGTTTATGAAAACATTTGTCAGGTATCAGTAAAGGAATCCCAAGTATAACATAAACAATTCAAGGTGTAATATTCTTCCTGAATGTAATTACGTTGCTTAACAAATTCAGCTTTCAAAATATCCTACTTTTATCTCATGAGTCCTCATTTATCAGCTCTTTCGCATTGAACATGATCAATTGGAATATGGCTCTGAGAATAAGTATTCCCAACTGAATAATAAAATATGGGCAAAAAACACATTGCCAGTTATCTAATGTACTATGAGATACAGTGTCTCCCACGGGCGTCATTTCAGATTTTCACCAGTTAATAGAATAGGCAGACAAATCACCAACTTTTTGATCAATGACATCAAAGCCATAACAGATTACTGGAGCTTCAGGAGATAATTAGCATGAAGAATAAGGTTAAGTGCTAAACCGTGGGGCCCGAAGCCATGGCTTCTGCTGTTCCGTCTGATCAGCCGTGCATGTTGGAGGTTCCAGACACAAGCCTGAATGGTGAAATGCTCTTTGTTGCCGCTCCTGCTCAGAAAAAAGCAGCTTTGATGGCCGTGGGCTGGGGCAATTCCACTTCACACTCGTGTGGAAGTTCCAGCTGGTCTCCACAGATTCCCGCCTGGATTCCCGCTTGGCCAGTTCCTCACACCAACACCACCCTTGTTATAAAACCAAACCGAACGGACTGGTGAGCAGTAAGCGTATTTTCTTCTTCTTTCAGGACTTGGAGGGAACTGGAATCTTGAAATTTTTCACAAAACCTTCTGGGGAAAAGTGGCCATCTCAGGTAAGATGAGAACATCTCTAGCATTCCTGCCCCTTGGATCGGGCCTTGTGTGTCACGCAGCTTCCTGGTTGCGGTGGCTCATGTGGGAGGCGAGAAGCAGCTGGTCGCCCTTGCGCAGCTGCGCCACTCCGTCTTTCCAAAATACACGGTCTGGAAAGAATTTCTAGAGAGAACGAACACCACGTGCAACGGGAAGGGGAGCTTTCTGTGACAGCGGGCGTGAAGCGGATGGGTGGGTGCGCGGCAGGCAGTCGAGCGCAGGAGCAAAATCCAGGGCCATCCTACGTCTCTGGAGCTGGGCCACCCATTCCAAGGGCTTTCCCACAGGCGGGGATCTTGTCCTGCTAGAATATGTGTGGCTGCCCCAGGCGCCGTGTGGCGTGAAGGAAGACTCGGGGTTTCCTGTGGAGGGAAAGAGGCGATGCCATGACTTCCTGTTAATAGAGTTGGGGTCTTGAGACAGTCTCTCGGGGCCTGTGGTCCGGCAAGTGATGGGAAGCTTCTGGGTGCTGGTGAGAGGTGGGTTGCATCCCCAGAAGCCTGGGAAGAACCTGTTCTGCAAGAATCTCGTAATGTGGGCAGAAGACTGGCGCTGTGGTCGCTGTGACCCAGCACACGTCACTCAAGGGGGCGACACTCAGGGGGCAACACCAAGCAGGGGTCCTCCACATCAGGACAATGATCAAAGCAAAGAAAAGAGGCAGCCGTTCATAACAAAATCAGAAGGGACATAGCTGAGTGCAGCCCTAGCTTTCAGGACAAGGGGCTGGAGACGGAGAGTCATGTGGGTCAAAAGTGACCCACAGAAAGAGACCGGGGGAAGAGGAGAGGATGCAGGTGCCCGCCAGGATCAGCACGGAGTCGGCAACGGAGGTGGCAGAGCAGATCCAGCTGGTGAGAAATGGGTGGAGGCAGGTCGTTGATCTGCTGAGTCAACAGAGAGCAACCCGCAAGGAAGCAGGAATCTCGGATTGTGGCAGCGAAGAACTACAACAAAATTTGTGAAATCAACAAAGAATCAAGACTGGAACTAGGCATGGTCGGAAATCAGAACTGGCAGGCGAGTGTCGGACTTGGAGAGATGAAAGAGCCAGTAGAGGCAACGATACTGTGATTGTTTTTAATAGAGTGGCTGAAGGAACGATTCCCTTGCATTAGACTAAGTCGGGCAGACCTCACCTGTGTCCACAGAGGACGTTGTGCCTGGCCCTTTGGCAACACCGGGACTTGAGTCATCACCGCAGAGGGCGCAAACGAAGCTCCGACTGGGAATGTTCCGGCAGCTGGGGGGGGGGAGAGCCCCTCCTTCTTGTGGAGGCCCCAGTCCAGCTATGCCAGGACTTGTGTCTAGAAGCACTTCTAAAAAGAAAGCATTTTAATTCTGCACGCAACTGTTGAGAGGATAGAACTGTTCACTGCTGGGCCACCCAGCTAATTCTGCCTTCGGAAGCGGAATCATGGAATAGTGGCGTTGGAGGGGCCAAGAAGGCCATCGGGTCCAGTTTCCTGCCATTGCAGGACACCAAGTCACACCATCCCGCACAGGTGGCTGTCCAGTTTCAGCTTGAATGTCTCCATTGTGGGAGAGCCCCCCACCTCTCCGGGCAGCTGGTCCCACTGCCGCATTGCTCTGACAGTGAGGAAGCTTTTCCTGATATCTAGCCTGAATCTGGGTTGTCACAACTTGAATTGATTATTCTGTGTCTGCACTCTGGCATCAGCCAGAAGAGACCTTGGCCTTCCTCTTTGTGACGGCCTTTGAGGTCCTTTTAGAGGGATCTCATGTCCCCCCTCAGCCTCCTCTTCTCAAGGCTGAACATGCCCAGTTCTCTCAGTCCCTCCTCACAGGGCAGTGTTTCCAAACCTGGATCATTTTTGTCGCCCTCCTCTGGACCCTTTCCAATTTACCTGCATCTTCCTTCAATCTTGGTGCCCAGAACTGGACACAGCATTCCAGGTGAGGTCTGACTAGCAAGGAGTATAGAGGAACTGCTACTTCTCGTGATTTGGAAGTAACGCTTCTCTTAATGCATCCCAAACCAGCTTTTGCCCTTTTGGCGGCTGCATCGCATTGTTGGCTCATGTTTAGCCTGTTGTCCACAGTTACTACAAGGTCCTTTTGGACAACAAGTTAAATATGGGACCCACACAACTGCCTTGTGGGAGGGAGCAAAGCCACTGATTAAAATGCCTCCCCATAAACCTGGGAGAGGAGGAAGAACCAAAAGGATGCAGATCCGAAAACCCTGCCATGTGCAGGCAGAGTGAGCAGAATTCATCCAAATAACGAAGGAAGGGGGAAAGAAACACATCCAGTTTGGGGAATGGTGTGATACCAGAAGCGATCCAGCAGGTTGCCTGCGTTGGTGGAACCTCTGTAACAAAGAGTCCTGCACTCAGGACGGAAGGGCCCGGATTATCCGTCTCTGCTTATCCCTTTTTACCTTGTTCAGCGAAAAAGTGTGCCGCTGAGAGGAGTTCGATTTGTGTAGACACCTTCACTTGGGAGCTGGTAGTAGGGGCTTTGCAGCGAATATTGCGAGGATCTCTATTTGCAGCCCACCCACCCAGTGACTGCGCCACCCCACCGTCGTAAACAATGGAGAGTTGCTGGGATGGGGTGGGGCCGCCTGCTGGGTCTTCCCGGGAGGCAAACTGGTTGCTTAATTGGTAATGTGGAAGAATGTGCTGATTAGAGGCAAAGAAGGAGACGAGCAAAGAAATAGGAGCAATGAATGCCCATACGGGTCGCCTAATAATCATTCCTGAAAAGGTGAGGTGACAGGGTTAAGGAATTATCTCAGAAGGTCAAGGGAATGGGTGCCCCATAGAGCTCAGGCAGGTACAATTTTTGCTGAGAAATGAGAACCCCCTTTTACAAGCAACAACATTGGGCAAGGAAGATTCACTACGGAAGTATCTAATGCCAGCCGGCCGGGTGATACTATGCAGCCGCATGATGGGCAAAGCCATTCAGGGAGGGGGTAATTGGAATGGGCAAAGATACGACCTTCCACTGGAGACGCATCTCTAAGTTCTCACTGGGACCTAATAAGCCCACAACTGGCTGCTTCCTCGGAGGAAATGCTGGAGGCGCTGGCTGTCTCTGGGGAAGGCGCAGTAATACTGGGGGAAGATTTCAATTTACTAAAGCGCAGCTTGACAGAAGTGCTACAGATCGTCGTAAATGCTTGATGCTTCCCTCTTCCTTCCAAAACTTGCTTCAGAAATACGACCTGAGGGGCACCTGGCACCTCCTACCTGCCCCTGAGAGGCATCGCACCTCTTACTCTTGCACGCACGAGGCATGTGCTTCCCCTTGCTATTTATTGATCTCTGCTGACTGGGGCAGAAGGGCCAAAGAAGCAAAGACTGGGTCCATAAACATTTCTGACCCCCCCGCCCCCGCTTACCTATTGATTGATGACATAAACAGCCAACCTCACAGTCGGGAATATATTCCACAACAATTGGTGTTCTGAAACTCTAGATATTCGCAATATCACAATGAAATTACACTATACCAACCGATGTTTTATGAATTTGGTAACAACGTTCCTGAATTCCTGGCCCAGCAACATAACTAAAAATTTAACTGCAAACAGCCTTTAATCAGTCAGGAGGGGGAACCGTTTTTTAACCAACCATACATAAAGAATGATCTTAGACATCACTCGTTCGTTCATTACATTTTTAATCTGCTCAGTTACTAATGTTCTCTGGATGGCTATAAGGACATGTGCACTTTTATGAATCCTAAATCTGAACACGCTTGGAATTTCTGAAGAAAGCCGGTACAGAGGCACTGAACCTGGAGCGTGTTCAAACTCTCAACTAAGACAATTAAATAACTCGAAAAGACAAGGTGCCGGGCAGCGACTGTTTCCATGGCTGCTGTTTTGAATCTCAGCTTGCTCCTCGCTCGCTCACAGGCTTCTGCATTCAGTCGAAGATCAGACAGTCCGTAAGCGAGTGCCTCTGGCGTGGGGGCTGCCTGCTCTTGTTCCAATTCTAAAGCAAGGCAAAAGCATGGAGAATGTGGACTTGTCTCCTCCGGAATCCCTCCTTCATCAGGACCACAAAATACTTGCCAGCGCTATGCCCACTTGGTGCTGGTCATGCTAAAAGCGATCGATAAGGACGTGTTAAAGGGAGGCGGGTGGCTGACCCAGTAAATAATCTTCTAGCCACAAGACATAAAGGAACGAAAACTGCAGCTAAACTTTGCTCCGTTGCCTCCGAGGTCCTTGGCAAGGGGGACGGCTTGCTTTATTTTACTGAAACCAGGGGAAATGAAGGAAGTAGGCCCCATTTATGCATGCCTTGGAGACTTGATATTCCTCAGGTCAAGCGCGACTCTGAATCCACCCGTAGCCCTTTCCCCATGAGAGGGAAGCTGAGCAGGGATGCCCGTTGAGCTGCTGGCTGTATGCTCTAGCCCTGGAGCCCTTACCAGGCAAGGCAAGGCAGGACTGCGCCATCCAGGGCCTGATGTTAAAAACATAGAAATGGATCCCCGGTGAAACTCTCCCCACTTTGGCTGGCGCAAACCAAGGTGTGCTTGACACCCGTAAGCATCAGAGCTGCCTATGGGAAGACGACGGGGAAGCCCCCAGCAACGAGGAAGCAAGAGCACTGGCCCGAAATATGGTCGGGCAGAACAAATATCAGCTCACCCATTTGTACAAGATTCCATTAAGCGAAATACCCCTTAAACATGGGGAAGTATATATAGTATTCCTTCCAGAGTGGCCAATATCATCAAACAGAAACATGACCCTTATTTAATCAAATAACCAAGACACTTCAGAAATGGGAGATGTTAAGGCATCTCTGCCTAAGCAGGATAGTAGCTATAAAATTAATAATCCTTCCCAAAATTAGATCCCTGTTTCTGTTCCTGCCCAAGACAAATATATGGACGAGTGTCAGCAGTTACTGAATGCATTTTGCTCATGCAGAAAATAAACCAAAACTACATGTAATTCTTTATATGGATACCATCAAATAGTTGGTTTGGGAATTCCTAATCTCCATCATTAGAAACATAAAAACAGAGTGAGTCAGCGAGTCTCCTGGGCCATCTAGTCTGACCCCCAGCTCCAGCCGGCTGCACTCCTGATAATTATTTCCAGGATTATCAATTGCAACACTTTTACAAATGCTAAAATATAACACAGAAATGTCACAGATACACATGGAAATGGGGATTTAAAAGGTAACTGCCACCTGCAATTTCAGGCCGTTATGTGGAAAAAGGCCTTGATGGCTACGCCCTTGTTTTGAGGAAATGGCACAGAAAGCTTGCCCACCAATTTTTCTTTTCTTCTGTTACTGATCTATGATATAAACAAACTTAGATCCTTTAAAGGGTGGAAACGTGGAAACCCAGAAACAGAGTGAGTCAGAAGGGGTCTCCCAGGCTATCTAGTCTGACCCCCGGCTCCAGCTGGCTCCGTTCATGACATGCCCACCATGTGCATGTCTAGCCTGTCCTTGAACACCCGCACCGATGGGGCCTCAGCCTCCTCCTGGGGAAGGCAAGGGACTGCCTAAAATCATGTCCAGCTCCTCAGCTTAAGGCCGCTGGGTGTGGGGCAGCTGATGTATAATCTGCAGGGGACTAGAGTTGGCTGCTTCCTGCTCGGTTGGGTTGCTGTCCAGTCCTACTGTTCTGTGGACCTATGCATTCCATGAAACAGCACCCTCGCGGGGGAATCTTGGGGGGGGGGGGGGGGATCCAGAAACTGGAATTGGCCTGTCACAATGGGACACAATCTGGAGCAGGGGACTACCAGAGCCGGCCCCTGCCAAGGTGAGCGGAAATAATAATAATAATAATAATAATAATAATAATTATTATTATTATTATTATAACATTTCCTTAAACGACCGCGCGGGAGTGTCTCTCTGCTCCCCTGCGTGCGGGAGGGTCTTCGGGGGAGAGAGACACACCTGTGCACTTTGCGGTCAGGTGTGGCGAGTCAGATACGCAGGGCAGATGGGATGAAGCTGAAGGAAACAGTTGCCTGGGCAGTTAAATGGTCCCCAGCCTCAGCCTCTTGTCCATCTAGGAGGGACTAAACAAGCAGCTGAAGTACAAAGAACTGCTCCCATTTCTATGGCGGCCGCAGAGTTGGAGAATGCAAAGGCAGGAGCGGAGGACTGTCTGATCCTGCTCGGAGGCGGAAGCCTGCCCTTGCCCAGGCCGGCGGTGAGGAGCAGCTCCATCTGGTGCCGTACCTGCATTAGCTAGAAGCCAGCCAGTCCTTTGGGTGAACAGGAGCAGGGCTGACAGCTACTGGTGACTTAAAAAGCAGCGAGAGAAAAACGGTTTCTTTCTTTTTCTGCAGTGGAAACAAAGATCAAGGAACCAATATCAACATGCTGTCCACCCACCATCTAGAGACAGGACTGTAAATGGTTGAGAAAATGTCACCGAACTGGCCCTGTTTGGTGTGGCAGAGCATCTTGCTTCGGTGTTTGCTGCCGCTTCCGTTCTCCTGACCTTGAATGACCGCAGCTGTTACTCATGTGCATTTAATACCTTCTGAGCTGTATTAACAGAGCGTTCCCGACGGGCCGCGGGGCCACCTGCGCCAGCCCTCCGGTGATGCATCAGCCTCTGCTTTGCAGTGGGCTCTTTATCATACCTGTGCTCTCTCCTCATTATTTATCCTCCATAAATTTGGTTCATCCTACTGCCTGATCCTTCCGCTGCGTCCATTGGAAAGTGTGCGCAGTGTCTCTTCCATGATCCTGCTCTGTGAAGCACGAACTGTCAGAGTTACTCTGAAAGTTCAGAAACGGGTCGTTAGAGACATGCTCCAACTTTCCCTTATTTTCCAGAACCAGGGCGAAGCGACAGTCAGCCAAGCATTAACGAACGACAACTTTCCATCGCTCAAAGGGTCCAGTGTAAGTTACACGTTAAACTTTAAAAAGCTATACCTGGCAGGGGTGGGGGTTCTCTGCATGGGGGCTTGAACCCGTGGCTTTACCAGGTTTCTTTTGTCTTCCTTTCTCTGCCTTTCTGCATATTCTGCTCCCGCTGCGGAGTGATGGGGCTGAGTCTGTGCCTGAGGCTCTCATTCTTGCTTGTTCCATTTCGAAATTTTGCTGCTCTTTCCTCGCTCTAAAGGGGCATGAAAAGGGCTGGAAAACACGGAAGACGTTCTGGGGGGTGCTAACGTCACAAAAAGGTCCCACAGACTTCCGTGAGCGCAAAATAAACGCCTTGGGTTGAGAAGCCCCGTGTGTCAAAATGCAGAATATCCCTGTTGTTGTCGTTGGAAAACTTCCTCCTCTCCCCTGCACACGTCCTGTCAAAGCAGTGCTGGCCAGGCATTTTACTGCGACTCAGTTAAAATGTGGTAGATCTGCTCAGGGTGCAGATAAAATGCATTTCGGCCTTGACCTGCAGGCCCTGATCCCGACCTTATATCAGCAAAAGGCAGACCTGCCCTGGCAAACATTCAGTCCAAATGCAGGCCGAACATGGATGACAACCAGGGGGGGGGGGGGGCAAACCCCAAGTGCCATTTCTGCTTGCTTTGGAATTGGCACCCCACGTGGCCTCTGGAAGCCCCCGGGCCTCATGCTTAGAATCCGGTGTCTAGTTCTTTTAATTCCAAAGAGCGCTTTGAAAACAATTAGCCGTCATCTGGCGTCCCTCCTCTGAGGGTACAGTCCTGCAGGATGGCCACCAGCCCTTGCGTCCGTCTAAGGAAGAACAGAAGTGGCAGGGGGCGACTTGGGGGGCCCGTCGCCCTGCCCTGCACTTTGGGGGCCCTTTCAGCTGTGCTGCTGTGGGTCTCGCCTTCCATCAGCAGCCGGTGGGCATGTGGTCATTCTGCCATCCCACGAGGACAGCAGAGCCAGAGGCTGCATTTGGGCAGGGGGCGCGTTGGCGAGAAGATGAGGGTCCTCTCGTCTGCAGGAGTGCAGAAGGAATGGCTGCTGCCAGGACTGCAAATTCAAACCAGGCACTGACTGTCTCCATGGGCCCTGCTGCGAGAACTGCAAGGTAAGATACAAGCAGCTCTGTTCAGGTAAAGGTAGGACCTGGCCTGGCCCACCCCACCTCTCTCCCCCCCCTCCCCCTGCCTACATTTCTTTGCCTCATTCATTCACGTAGGGGGACTTTGGGGAACCTCCAGGGCCGGGGAAACCCTGGGCCAGAGCCGGCTTCCTAGCAGCAGCTCTCTTGGAGGAACCGGGCCGACCTCTAAATCCAAGACTGCTGTTGCACGAAGGCAGAGCTGCCCTCGGAGAGGCAGTCTCTGGGTTGAGCAGGACCAGCTGACGGACCATTGACTTTTTTCTCCCCAGACACCCCTCTATTATCAGGAGCATCCTAGCTGTTTGGGGCTTGCAGGGAAGGAAGGGCTTCAGGCAGGAAGCTCCCCGGGTCCCTTGCACTGGGATGGTAGGGTCTGGTTGACCAGCCTGCCCTTCGCGACTTAGTGACAGGTAGTAGGGGTGGGTTAGGGTAGAGGTAATAACCCTCATTAGAACTAAATAATCATTTGCACCTGATCCAGCTGGGTCTGGGAGATTTTACGTTCTTCGTTGAGAGAGGTGCTGGCACTGGTCTCTTTAAAGGGAGCAGAAAATGGGATGGACCCTTACCTAAAAGACGCTAACATCGGTAGGCCAAGTCCCAGAATCCCCTTCCTGGCCCAGCCGCTCTCGTTAGGTGCTGCCAGCCAGCTGCAGATGCGCTTAAATGAAGCCATAATCTCGCTCATTTGAGCTCTGATTTTGGAATGGAAGCTGCTTCGGGTGCCTGGTTGGTCCCTTTGGGTTTCTCAGCAGCTTTCTGAACCATAAGCAATGGTAGCTTCTTACAGCATTATGAGAATGTTTTGCAACCACTCAAACCTGCCCTGCGTACAAGCTCAACATGAGCAGACGCGCACGTTCTCCAAAGATGTTTGCAAATTCTCAACTTCGCATTCCTATCCACCAAACGTGCGCTTACAAGTTGCGCGACTTCAAGCACAATGCGTGCATTTTAAAGAATGCATATTTTCAGTTCCTATATTCATGCTTTACTGGAGGGAAAGTGCACACTTTAAAAATGCAAACATTAAGGAATGCACAGTTTTGAAATACAGAACATTAGAAGTTACACTTTTTAAAAAATGTGTTTTCACACTTTAGTCAATGAAGGGAAAGCACACACTTCTAACATGTGGCTTTTTCCCATTCAGTTGAACCTGAGAAATAGCACTAAAATGAATGGGAGAGAGCCAAACTGAGATTTGAAGAATTTCACATTTTTCAGAGAGCGTTAGAAACCTCGAGCATCCCTTCTTGTTCCATCCCTACACTTCTGGGTGCAATAACTGGGCCAGCTGGTGGAGATCCTGCATGGCTGTGGAGCTGCTTCTAAGAGTCCCAAGCTGCAGTTCTGTTCTGGGGTTTCCCATCCCTGGGAAACAAAGCAGCCAAAGACGGTGCAAAGTGCCAAGTCTTTGGGCACCCGGGAAGCAGCGGAGGTTCCTGGCAGGGTGGAAGGACCCCGTTCCGCTAGACTTACGAGCACTTTTTGTAGTGCTGCCAAGTTGCACCTTCGGATCCCTGGCACTGCTGTTGAGCCGCGCCTGTTGAGAATGCTCAGAATCGGAAGCTCCCGTTGTTGTTTCCAACAGTTTTCGAAAGGGGGAACTGTGTGCAGAGAAAGCGCTACAGAGTGTGACCTTCCGGAGTACTGCAGCGGCACTTCTGCCGACTGCCCCCGAGACGTGTATAAACAAGACGGGATGCCGTGTAGGAACAATAACCACTGCTTCCTGGGTAATTGCCTGGATCTTGAGAGCCACTGCAACACTCTCTTTGGTGAAGGCAAGGCTGAGATTTATTATTATTATTACTACTACTACATAGAGGGGTATCACCTTTTTAGAAAGGACAGGAAGGGAAAGAGGGGTGGGGGGTGGCCAGGGAAGGGACAGAATGCAGTGAGATAGGATGCAGCGCAGATGGGGATTCGGTAGAGGCAGTCTGGGTGGAACTTAGGGGTTCTGACAGGGAAAGCGACCTGACCGTGGGGGTATGTTATCGCCCTCCAGGTCAGCTTGAGACCCTGGATGATGTCCTGACAGGCCAGATTCTAAGGATATCTCGGGGGAGAGACACAGTAATTATGGGAGATTTCAATCTCCCGGATATTACTTGGGAGACGCACTCGGCGGTGACAGCCAGGTCACGTTGCTTCCTAGAAGCTATAGAGGGAGGGTTTTTAGAAACATAGAAACAGCGCGAGTCAGAAGGGGTCTCCTGGGCCATCTAGTCTGACCTCCAGCACCAGCCGGCACCAGCCGGTTCCGCTCACGACATGCCCACCATGTGGACGTCCAGCCTGTCCTTGAACACCCGCACCAATGGGGCCTCAGCCACTTCCCGTGGAAGCCCATTCCACACCCTCGGGGTCCCGACTGTCAGGAAGTACTTCCTGGCATCCAAATGGGACCTTGGCTCCCTGAGCTTTGCTCCGTTGGAGAGCATCCTGCCTTCCTCTGCAGGGGAGAACAGGCCTCTCCCCACCTCCGTGTGACACCCCCTCACATACCTGTATGTCGCCAACAGATCCCCTCTGAGTCTCCTCTTCTCCAGGCTGAAGAGACCCAGTTCCCTCAGTCTCGCCTCAGACCCAGTTTTTCACACAGAAGGTCCGAAAGGTGACGAGGGGGGAAACATCCTTGACTTGGTCTTGACCAGAAGAGAGGAGCTGATAGATGAAGTACAGATTAGGGGAGTTCTGGATGCGAGCGATCACTCCATCCTTTGCTTTGAGATCAGGGGACTGGGGACAGGCAGCGGGTCGAGCACTAGAAGCTGGGACTTCAAGAGGGCCAACTTTGGTCAACTGAAGGCCAGACTGGGGAAAGTCTCCTGGAATGGGTTACGGGAAGGCAAGCGAGTTGAGGAGGGGTGGATGGCACTCAAAAGGGAGGTTTTGGAGGCCAAGCCTTGACGATACCTCTAGTCAGTAAGGCGGGGAGGCGGAGGAGAGTGCCGCCATGGATGCAAACAGAGGTGGTTAGAGGGATTAGACGAAAGAGGAACCTCCGCAGGAAATGGGTACTGGGGCAAATAGACAAAAGGGATACCTGGAGGAGGAGGCCCGTTGCAGAAGGATTCTACGCAAAGCTAAGGCTGATGACGAGCTGAGACTTGCCAAGAATATCAAGAGCAGCAAAAAGGGCCTCTTTCAGCATGTAAATAGGAAGAGGAAGGGGAGACAAGTGGTGGGACCGCTAAATAAGGAGGAAGGAGATCCAGTGACTGATACAAGGGAACAGGCACAGATGCTAAATGACTATTTTGCCTCTGTGTTCTCCCCAAAGCAGGACGGGGAAGATCCGCATAGGAGATGAGATGAGGCCGGGGACTTAGGGGCACAGATTAGAGTCACCCCCTTGAAGTCGAGGGGCTCCTCAGGGCATTGGACATTACAAAGGCATCAGGCCCTGATGGGTTACACCCGAGAGTACTTAGAGAGTTGGCAGGGGTTCTCTCACGTCCGCTGGCCTCCATTTTTGAGACCTCATGGAGAAGGGGTGAAGTTCCAGAGGACTGGAGCGTGGCGTCAGTGGTTCCAGTTTTCAAAAAGGGTAGTAGAAAGGACGTGGGGAATTATAGACCCGTTAGCCTTATGTCCATTGTAGGAAAAACAATGGAAAGGCTCATAATAGAGAGAGATCTAGTGATGCTAGATAGGGAAGGGAAGCTGACAGCCACACAATACGGCTTCCGCAAAAACAGGTCCTGCCAGACAAACCTTGTGGAATTATATGACAAGGTTTTGCGATGGCTAGACGGAGGGGATGCAGTGGATGTGGTATACCTGGATTTCAGCAAGGCCTTTGACAAAGAGCCCCATGATATCCTGGTGGAGAAACTGAGGAGTTTTGGGATACACCATCCACTGTCCGGTGGATTAGGGCATGGTTGACTGACCGAAAGCAGAGGGTAACCATTAGCGGGGAATCATCGGGATGGCGGCCAGTGACAAGTGGGGTCCCCCAGGGCTCTGTCCTGGGGCCGATCCTGTTTAATCTTTTCATTAACGACATGGAAGAAGGGGTGAACAGTCTGCTGATCAGATTCGCAGACGACACTAAAACTGGGGTAATGGCCACAACTGAGGAGCAGGTACTCCAGATCCAAAAGGATCTGGACAGACTATGGAAGTGGGCAGGAGGCAACAGGATGGCGTCCAACGTGGATAAGATCTTGCACTTTGGGCATAGGAATAGATGTCATAAGTAAAGATTAGGTGACAAGTGGCTGGAGAGCAGCCCTTGTGAAGGGGACCTCGGGGTGCTGGTCGACTGCAGGCTGAACATGAGCCAGCCGTGTGATGCGGTGGCCAAGAGGGCGAACACCACCCTTGGTTGCATACCCTTGGAAGCCAGAACCGTGGCTTCTAGAACGAGAGAGGGATTACTGCCACTCTGTGCGACTCTGGTGCGCCCGCAACTGGAGTATTGTGCTCAGTTCTGGGCCCCTCATTATAGGAAGGATATAGTCAGGTTGGAGTCAGTGCAGCGTAGGGCCACAAGGTTGGTGGCCGGTTTGCAGGGGATGCCGTATGAGGAGAGACTGAGGGAACTGGGCCTCTTCAGCCTGAAGAAGAGGGGACTCCGAGGGGATCTGTTGGCAACGTACAGGCACTTGAGGGGGTGTCCCCACGGAGGTGGGTAGAGGCCTGTTCTCCCCTGCAGAGGAAGGCAGGACGTGCTCCAATGGAGCAAAGCTCAGGGAGCCTAGGTCCCACTGGGATGCCGAGAAGCACTTCCTGGCAGTCAGGACCCCAAGGGTGTGGAATGGGCTTCCACGGGAGGTGGTTGAGGCCCCGTCGGTGCGGGTGTTCAAGGACAGGCTGGACATTCACATGGTGGGCATGTCGTGAGCGGAGCCGGCTGGAGCTGGGGGTCAGACTAGATGGCCCGGGAGACCCCTTCTGACTCGCTCTGTTTCTATGTTTCTACTACTACTACTACTATTAAACTATAATGACTGCTTAGTCAACCGCTGAGTTTCTGACAATTCAGTTCATTCAGAAAGGCCATCTGAGTCAAAGACGCAGTTTTTCTCACACAGAAGGTCTCCATTAGCCTTGGTGGGGACTTTCCTTGAAATATAAATGCCAACTTCAAGAAACGGGTGTTGCTCGGAGCGGGGTGGGGAGAGAAATGCTGAAACTTTTGCTTTTGTTGTAAGCCACCCCGAGGCTTTGTTGCGATGGGGGCGGCATAAAAATGTTTTAAACAAATAAACTTCTCCCACTCCTCTCCACGTGGTTTTGTTGTCTGCACCCCAGAAGCTGCGTCCGAGAACCGCCTGCGTGCAATCCGTGTGGCGCCCCGCTTGGCCCCGTCACGGGTCCCTTTCTGGGACGTGGGCAGCAGCGTCCATCTTCGCTGCCTCTCCTGCAGCCATTGTTCTGGAAGTAGCTGCGCAGCCGAGCGCTTGCAGGCAGCGAAATGGAAGCTGGGGGGCCTCGAGGAACAGGCGGGGCAGCATTTTCTCTAGTGCGAGTAATTCCCTGGAGCATTTAGTGATTTCGCTGCGCCGAAGGCCCCGGTGCCTCTTTTGGGGCTTTTTGGGTTTCGCTAGTTCTTCTTTTTCACCTGTTTCTCCTTCACTGTCTGCAGGTACCAAACCAGCCCCGCTGAGCTGCTTCAAGGAGCTGAACATGCGGGGCGACCGGTCGGGCAACTGTGGTGAGGAGGGACAAAAATACAAGAAATGTAGCGAAGAGTAGGTTGTGCCTCTGGGCAGGCCCTCGTATTCCTCAGCCGCTCCTTCGCTTTCCCGTGGGATCTTTCCCAAACTAGCTTGCAGCTTCCCAGGCAGGCCTTGACACCAACAAATGTAACAGTTAAATTCAGCACTGCAGTGCGTTAAGGATCGCGGTGATCAACAAGGCAGTGCCGGTAAACAATCACAGGAGGATGTCATGATGGTTAATCCATAGGAAGAAGACTAGTCCCAAGGTGGTGGCGGTAAGACTAGTTTTGTAAAGCCCTCGCTGGTGTCGAAAGAGATACATAATCACTGACAAAAACCAGCAGGCTGGGATGCTGAAAGAGGACGTATTCTCACATGCCCCTCTGAAAAAACTTTTAATAGGACCCGGCATGTTTGAATAACAAGTAACAGCCCAGGAAACAAGCAGCTTTATCAGTTGATTTACATGGATAAAATGCTTTGTACTAATTTAACATGATCCGTTTGCTCTTAAGAGTCATGATTTAAACATTTTCTTAACATTTGTGCCCCCTCAAAAATTTTTCTCCAAAATTTAAATTGGCCCTTAGGCTCAAAGTGAATTAGCACCCCTCACTTAGACTGTGATGGGGATGAGAATTAAAGGAGCAAAAGCAAATGGAGGCGAGATCAGTAGGAAGGATCTCAGTGTGGCTGCTCAGCATCTGCTGGGGCTCCCTCGGAACGTGTGGGGTTTGTTCTTGAACCCGGCCCTAGCCTTGGATTTCCAGGCGCCGGTGCATCCAGGGGTGTCTTGGCACACTTCTAGTTAGGTGGTGGCTGCAAAAACACAAGTCTTGAAATTTCCAGTGTGATGCGAGTGATCCATGCAGAGAGAGAGCGAGCGCGCGCGAAGGGAGGGCATATAAGGCAAGGCCAAGCCGCACGCCACTGCAAGAAGGCCGGGTGTGGGAGGGGTCCTCCGCAGTGCCCAGGGCAGCCCCTTCTCCCGGCTCTCACCTGACCTCTTCCCGGCCCCTTCCCCAGCACCCCGCGGGGCTGCGCAGGCGCCTCTCCTCCAGACACCCCTTCCGGCTCTGTCTTCAACCCGCCTTCCAGCGGTCCCGGGAGCTGGGTCGGGGCAGCCTTTGGGCACCCGATCTCGCACACACACGGCCTCTGAAGCCACCGCTCCCTTTCCAGCTCGCTGGCCTGCTCTCAGGAAACGGGCCCCTGCCCTGAGGCTTGCTTCTGTGGGGGCCACCCAGTCGCCTCCGACTCACGCAGCCCCACGGAAGAAGGGCCGCCAAGGCCCCCGGTAGCCCTGCCCGGCCCGGGTCAGCGCAGCGCCGGGGCTTCCTTGGTGGAGTCCGTCCACCGGCTGGGTGCCCCCCCCCCGCCTCTGCTTTCCCCTCCGGTGAGGCTCCCCTTCCACTGACGCGCCTGAAGTGCTGGGGAGGAGCGCCACGAAGACGTGGGCATGGAAGCTGGTTCCCCCTCCGGCTGGAAGGCGCCCAGGAGGCTTCCTCTGGGCGTCTGGCTGTGTTCATCGCTGGCTTGTTGTTTTGCTTGTTAAACTTCCGTGCAGATTTGCGGGGTGGGGGAAATGGTTGGCCACCTGCTCAAAGCCTAATTGTTTTTATCTATCTGCTCTTTAGGAGCAGCAGCTTCCCTATCAAAGCTTTTATTAGTCTGGGAGGTGAATGTCAGTCCCTTCCTTTCAAAAGCAGCCAGGTTTGGTCAGGAATGGACGGCATTTCTGCCAGACTAGCTTAATTTTTGGGCCTGGTATTTTAGCCACGATGCTTTTGTGTCTTGAGTGGTTCAGTGCAGTGCGTCGTGTTGTGTTGCGCAATGTGTGCCTTTGATGACATGCAAAGCCACAACCTGATTCCCCCCACAACATGCCCTTTCCTGTCCTCCACGAACTGAATCGCAGGATCCTGCTGATAATCTGCATTCCTTCAGTTTAAAGTTGCCCCTCTTCTAGAGACTCACTCGTTTCCCATCTAGAATTAGCATATAAGGTAAAGGTTCCCCCTTGACGTTACATCCAGTCATGCCTGACTCTCAGGGGCGATGCTCAGCTCCGTTTCCTGGCCGAGGGAGCCAGCGCTTGTACGCAGACGGTCTCCGTGGCCATGTGGCCGGCATGACTAAACTGAAGTGCACGGAACGCTGTTACCTGCCCACTGAAGAGGTGCCTTTTCATCTACTCGCATTTGCAGGCTTTTGAACTGCAAGGTTGGCAGGAGCCAGGACGGAGCAACGGGAGCTCACCCCCTTGTGCGGATTCAAACCGGCGACCTTCCAATCAACCAGCCCAGCAGCACAGCGGTTAAAACCCCTGCACCACCTGCAGTCCCTAGAATCAGCATATAAATAGCCACCAATTCTGCCCCTCAGCTAACGGTTTTGGCTAGGACTTTTCCTTCCACCCGCCTTTGCCCGTCCGTCCGGCCAGCTGGCGAGGCCTCCTGTATGCGCCTTGCCAGATTGAAGCGCACCCCCATTCGAGTGCTTTGGGGGGCCTCCAGTGGCGGATTCTGGGAATTAAGCAGGTGCCATTCCCCCTTCCTGTTCTGCTTCCAGGAATGTCTTGTGTGGCAGGGTCCAGTGCACTCGCGTTGACAGAATCCCCAAAATGTCAGCCGGACAAGGCATCGTTCAGACGGTGGTGGGGAATACACTGTGCTGGGGTACAGAGTTCCACCTTGGGTACGACGTTCATGATCTCGGAGCTGTGAGAGACGGCACCAGCTGTGGCCCGGACAAGGTAGCTTCAGCCGGACGCGTTGTCTGGGCAGGGGAGAGCTTGGCTTTGCCGGGGCGCGCAGCCTAGCCGATCCTGGCCTTTTTGAGCTCTCCGACCACCCAAGGTCCCAGGCCAGGTCAGACAGGGGAGGTTCCACCCAGCCTCTTCCTCCCCCGGAGTTCACCCCCCCCGCGCACGGCTGAAAAGCGGGGAGAAACCCTCATGGACGCTCATCAGGGCCCTGCGTGGAGAGAAAGTGCCCGAATGGGAGAGCTTAGATCGGGGCAGGCAATGGATCTTTTTGAGCATTTGGCTGGTGATGGCAGGGCGCCACTGCCCCCCGCTCCAGGGAAAGCTGTGGTTCTTCCCCTCCCCCCCCCGCCCAGTGCTTGCTAGCCTATAGAATGGGGGCATGAGTTTGGGAGGAGGGGGAGGGAAGTGGGCACCCCAGCCTCCGCTGCCAGGTGGGGAGCCTCTGCGGGCTCGATCGCCGCAGGGGCTGGGAGTGGCGCAGCCGGTGGGTAAGCCCTCGCTGCTTGCTTGCCGGGTGCCAGAGGACGAGAGAGGAAATGAGGATGAGGAAAGTGCTGCACATTTAGCGGACTGTGCGGTTTAACCCTAAATTTATGCTTTTTTCCTGACTGGACAAGTTCCTGTTACCAAATTCTGCTTGCCTGCACCCACCTGCTTGGATACGAGTGCACTTCCTTGATTCTTCCCCATTTCCTCTTTTCTTTTTTCCCTTATATGAAGGGTATCCTGAAACGTTTCGTGATACAAACTGCCTCCTTATTCACGTCCATTCGTTTGTTGTTGTGAACGTTGTGTTGAAAACAAAAAGCAGAAAGTGCAGTCAGGCATAATCTCATTTCTGAGCCCCAGTAGAAGCACATTCTCAACTTTTAGATACAAGCCGGGCTGGGGAAACCTTCCAGGGTGAAGCAGAAGCTGAACTTCCGGGCCAGTTGGCCACCATTTGCTGTGGTCCTAGAGCCACTCCCTTTGTCCTCAGAGCAAAGCTGCGGGCACGGCCACTCGCTGGTCCAAATGCCAGCCAGGAAGCCCCCCACCCCCACCCCTGCTTTGCTTTTCCGTAATGTCAATAAAAGTTGTGCATACATAGGTAATGTACAAAGCAAGTATTTAAGTAGACAGGCATAGAAACACAGAAGCAGAGCGAGCCAGAAGGGGCCTCCCGGGCCATCTAGTCTGACCTCCAGCTCCAGCCGGCTCCGCTCACGACATGCCCACCATGTGCATGTCCAGCCTGTTCACGAACAGCCGCACCGATGGGGCCTCAACAACCTCTCATGGAAGCCCATTCCACACCCTCGGGGTCCTGCCTGTCAGGAAGTGCTTCCTGGCATCCAAATGGGTCCTTGGTCCCCTGAGCTTGGCTCCGTTGGAGCACGTCCTGCCCTCCTCCACAGGCATGGCAGGTGCTTTTAAGATTTGAAAACACCCGATGCAAATTACAGGTGTCATTACTGGAGCGAAGGCTAGGAGAAAGAAGGTGCCTCTGCGGTAGAAAAACCCGGTCCCGCCACCCCGGAAGGTGTGCCTGCACACCACCCAGGCCTCTGACAGGCAGCGCATCCTGTAAGCGGCAGGTGGCAGCTCCCTTCCTCAGGGCGCTGCGTAGAACCTGAGTTTTCTGCCTCCTTTTACAGATCTGCTTAAACAGAACGTGTGTTGACCTGGCAGTTCTGAATTACGACTGTGATTTCTCAGACTGTAACAACCACGGGGTAAGTAGGCAAGAAAAGAAAACGGGGCGACCTGGGCCCATATTTCTCTCTTGATTGCGAGCTCTGGGAGAAGGAGCTTTGATTTGGCAAAGGAGCTCTGGCGGGGGAAGAGGCAGCTTCCGCTTTTATCCTATTGGCAAAACCTCTTGAAGGCTCCCGGCCTTCTCCCGCTGCCACTGTGGAAAGGACGCTGGTGGGGCTCCGCGTGCCCATAGAAGCCACCTCCCCACCACCCCGTGTTTCAGGAGCAGTGGCAGGTCGTCCCCGCAGGCTGTGCGGGGCAACGAGGCAGCTCCCCACGGTGCCACGAGCGGCTGCTCTGCCAGTCCGACACGGAAGGAGGGCAAATGGGGGAGAAAGACCCCCTCCTGGGAGGACTCTGCCTCGCCTCCCCTTCACGGGACATCGGCCATGGCTTCCCCCGGGGTGACTCTCCGAGCTGGGAGCCGGGGGCGCTGCATGGTGGGGGTCCCACTCCCCCGAGGGCCCTCCCCAGGAAGCATCGCTTGGGGGATGCAGCATGGATTCTCCAGCATGGGATCCCTCCGGAGTCTGTTCTGCCCCCCAAGCTGTTCAGCGTATGCAGGCAATCATGAGGGGGTCAAACGGCGCTTTGGAGTGCGCTGCCGTCGGGATGCCTGATGATGTGCCGCTCTAGTTCTCCTTCCCGTGGCCTGCAGGAGAAGTGGTGGATGTGCTGACCCGGGGCCCGGCCACGGCAGTGGGCTGGATGAGGCCCACAGCCGGAACCTGCCCAGAAAAGCCTGAGCTGCTGGGGGCGGGGGGTTCCCTTGACTGGATGGGGGCGCCCAGCCTGCTGGATGTGGGGTGCAGCGCACTCTGTGCGGGGGTGCCCCTGAGCACAGCTCCCAGTTGGCAGCTTGCGCAGCGGCCAGATGAGTCACTGGGGCCCAGAGGTCTGAACATACGAAGCCGGTTCTGGCCCACCGGCACTGCCTGCCTGCGTCCCGCCGGGCCCCGTTCGAGGCGCCGCTTTCACCTCACACGGCTTGGGACCACAGGACCTGCCGGATCACTTCGCCCAAGCTCTGCCTGCAGCCTCTGGGACCTTTCCCCAGGTGCCAACCCTACTCAGAGGTGACCGCAACGGGCAGGGCTTCTCTGTGGTTGTCGCCCTCCCTGGGACAGCCCCCCTGCTGGAAGCCCTTTCTGCAGGAGTCTTTAGAAATCTTCTGGGCCATCCGGGTGATTCTTTTCCAGCCTTTTTAACTGTGTATTTTTAGCTATTTAAAATTCATTTCAGCATTTTGTTTTTATGGTACTTCTATCGTATCGTACGGTATGAGCTTTGGCTATGGGTGGAGGAGGAAGAGCAGGAAGGGCGTCATGAAGGAGCTTTGGAGTGCGTTTCCGTTCTCCTGAAATGAACCCACGGCGGCTCTTTGCCTGCCACTGCTCAACGCGCTTGATGTTTCCAGGTCTGCAACAGCAAGAGGAACTGCCACTGCTTTTACGGGTGGGCCCCTCCCTCCTGCACCGGCAGGGGATACGGGGGAAGCATCGACAGCGGCCCCCCTCCAGTTTCTCGGAGTAAGTCCCCCATCGTCGCGGCTGTGCCAAAGGGCTCTGTTCGCTCCACTCACTGGGGAATCCAGCCTTGTCTAGGTTGGGCCTTGGGACATGTAAAGTAAAGTAAAGTAATTCAGGGGATTACTTCCTGTGCTTCAGCTGTTTACCTGCAACTCAAAGTGTCACGACATGCAGAGGTCGAGTAGCTGACCCCACCAACCGGACCCCAGTGCCTCCTTACAAGCCTGTTCGTTCGTTCGTTCGTTCGTTCGTTCATTACGGAACTTCTATGCCGCCCCATTTGCCGAAGCCTCGGGGCAGCTCACAACCATTATTCACGCCATTTCTATAACACCCCATAGCCGAAGTTCCCGGGAAGTTTACAAGAGTCTATAAAAACAAGAGAATAAAATCTTCTCAGAGAAACATTAAAAATTAAAACACTAAAAAGATACAGTGAAGAACAACCCCGTAAAAGAAAAACAGCCAGGGTGGGCACACCCCTCAAGCCTCGGGGCAGCCGCGCAGGTCTCCGTCAGGCTCGGCACGTGGGCGTCTCAGCCAGGGGCCGAAAAGCTGACTGGGCTGGCACCACGCGCCACGGTGGGGAGGTTATTCCAGAGATGGGGGGCCGCCACAGAGGAGGCCCCGCCGTGTTCCCGCTCGCCGAGCCTTTGAGGCCCGCCCGCATAGTGTGGTGCCTCCTTCCTCTTGTGCCCCCAGTTTCCACGAGTATCGTCGTTGGCCTGGCCACCCTGGCTGCGCTGGCTGTCTTCGTGCTCGGTCTTCTGGCCGGTTCGCAAAGAGAAAGGCTGCAGGGCTGGTGAGTGTTTTCCCTTCCGTGGCATCTCCCTGGGACCGGGCCTTCCTGGTGCTGCTCTGTGCCAAAGGGAGGGAATGCTCCGTGTAAGCTCGGACGGCACCGGAGCTCTGCAGGCCCCTGGGAAGCTTTGCAAGGACCAGGCTGAGCGCGGGGTGGGCGCTGGCGTTCGCCTTCTGTGTCGCGAGCGCTGGCCGGTTGGTTCCTGCAGCCGCGCGTGTCTCTAAAGTGCAGGTCGTATCCCAGATCCTCTTAGACGCAGCTGTCGTGTGTTCCTGTCAAAAAAATTCCTCGGAAGGGGCTCAGTCCCGCTTTCAAAATCTGTGTGCGGTGTGCCCAGATGCGCTGCTGGTCCTGTTCTTAGACTGGCGCCCACCTGGACCCCAGCACCTCTTGGCCTCCGTTGTGCGCCACCCACGGCTGCCCCGTGCTTTCCCAAGCCCCTTCGTGGGCCGGCAGTGTCACCTGGCGGCACAGAAAGCTGCTTCAAAGGTGCCGCCTCTTACTCACCTGTGAATTGGGAGAGACTAAACAGAGGCCAACGGATACCGATTTTCGACATCCTTCCAGAGCAGCACACGATCCTTGCACTGTCCAGTTCTCCTGGACCACACTTTAAAAATGGGATGACCAACTACGGGAGACCTCTTTTTCTGGCTTGGTGCAATGTTCTACAAGGTAGATATAATTAAATTCCCGTTAGCAACTGACATAACGCTCGCAGCAGCAGAAAGCTGGAGTTTATTCTGCACATCTTGAGTTTTTCTCAAAGGACTAGGGACATTTTGATCCACCTTATTACACAATCCCTTCCTGAACAGTCCTTAAGATTCCATATTGATAATTTTGCTTAAGTGTTAGCATCTCAATTACAGAGCAAGATGCTAATTTTTCCAAAGGATTTTTTTGAATCCATGACTCTGCTCTCAGATGTCTACATATTTCTAAAATATTTTTATTCTGCATATCTGTGGTCAGTAAATTAAAAGTAATAAACCAGTACAACTAACTTTCCTGTGTTTCCTTCAATAGTTTTGCAAGAGTGATCCCCTTCAAAACACCATCACTATCAGCAGATACAGTAAGTTACTAAAAGCTTTTTTGCTGGAAGGACCCAGTTCCTGCTTTTATGTGGGTGGCGAGGGTGTGGGGTAGGAATGGACACACCTTGCTGGCACTTAAATTTCTCCCTTGAACACACAGAACCCACAGTCGAAGGAAGACATTTATTTACTAAACGCTACTGTGTTGTTTCGTGTTGCTTTTCCCGTCATGCATGCTGCCCGGAGAGGGCTCCCTGCTGAAATTGGGAGAAATAAAGCAAAGGCTGAGCTAATTTTATATTGATATTTTTTTGTATTTTAACTTAATGTTTGCACTTTACAAACATTTTAATTTAATGTTATAATTTAATGTTTGTATTCTAACTTAATGTTGTAAGCCGCCCCGAGGCTTCGGCGAATGGGGCGGCATAAAAATGTTTTAATTAATTAATTAATTAATTAATTAATTAAGGTGCCCGAAGGCATAATAAATCTGCAGGACCGAAGGCGGCACAGTCGGAAGAGTTTGTACCGCCCACCTGCGCTCAGCTTCCTCCCGGGGCTTGTCTGCGCTTTGTCCCCCTTGAGCTGCTCGCTCTGGTCGTCTGCCCTCGGGCGGCTTCCCCTTTGTGCTGCTGCTCCACAAGGCCTATTCTCTGCGGGAAAGGGGCATTTTCTCAAGCAGAGCCATCGTTCTCCCTGAAACCAGAAGATGGCCTCTCCCTCATCCTTCCTTCCGTTGGGGATTTCTCTGCCCCCACCGGACGCTTGCCGGGCGCTGGGTCTCGCCTTGAGAGGGCTGCCCAGTCACGCTGCTGGCGTGGCTGCTTGTCGGCCCCGGCAGTCGGCCATCCGCTCTCTCCTGGGCACTGGTGCAGCTCCCGGCACCCAATCCAGACGCCAGGAAGGTGCTGGCCGCTTGGCTGCATTTGCAGGAGACGTTCCCCTCCGGCGCCTTTGCAGAAATGCCGCTCGCTCCGGCCAGCGCTCTTTGTTAAGCTCTGGCACCTCGTGACTGGGCTTCCCTTGGGAGGGGGGGCAGGCTCAGCCTCTTAGTTCATCCTGCTCACCTCTGCCATGAGAAGTGAGCTGCCTAAGGACCCACGGGTGGGATGTCCGGAACCTCTGACCCTTGGGGGCAGGCCGTGTACCCACGGCCCCGGCTCCTGGAGTGGCCCTCTGCATTCGCAGCGCCAGCCCCGCCTCTGTTCTTAGCTGGGGGCAACGGCGGTGCCCAGAGAGAGAGTGAGGGAGAGGCGGGCCAGCAGGCTCCTCGCCACCTGGGCGTAAGTGGCACAGGGCTAGCTTGCCACCTGAACTTCTGAACTCTGAAAAGGTGCCCGAGAAGGCTTTGCACGGCTCTCTGAATGCACAGGTGACCTCTCAAAGAACCGCAGGTCCAGGTGAGCAGCCTGCCCTTCTCAACCCTCATTTCGTCTCTTTCAGGGACCAGTGAAAAGCTAAACCTCTGAAGGGGCGCATCACTGGAGAGCCGACAGGCAGACCTTGCTGTAACTTCTCCCGTATAGATAGATGCTGCTGCTAAGGAGCAGAACAGTCCTTCGGATACCTGAAGAATCACAGAAATAGCTCCCAGGAGGGTGGGGGTGCAGCCATGCCCAGGGCCCCTGAATTCGTGCCGTATGTTTCTCTTCTGTTGGCTGGATGCTGTTTTCTTGCTTTGTCTCACTAATTTTCAAATAAAGCATTATTAAGAATTTGGGCTTCCTGAATGTTATCACTCAATCGTTCAAGTATTTGGGAAGCCTGTAGCTGACACTTACTGCTATATAGCTGATTATATATGCGTAGTCCAAGAATATACAAGATTTAATTTTAGCTGGGCTTGTTCTTTAGTTCTGGAATCAGAGAATAGAGGGGACAGAGGGCCATCAGGGGGGCCCCCTGCTCAATGCAGGACTCCCAAGTTCAGCCATCCCACTCAGCTGGCTGCCCGCCTGCTTCTTGGATGCTTCTAGATGTGCTAACAAGAATTAATAAGGAAAAATCTTTTGATCCAGTTTTCGTTTGTAGTAAAAATACACTTCTTATTACATCACATCAAAACAGAATGCATTGATTTGGATAAAATTAAAAATGGCCTTTGTTGTGGTGAAGGAGCAATTGGCAACGGGTGTTTGGTCTTAACAGATCGAGAGGAAACAGGACTTCCTACATACGTCTCATTATCAAAGATCCCTAGTTCTAATTGGAACGCGCTCCCCAGAGAGGTCCTCCTGGCGCCGTTGTTATTTGTTTTTCGGCGCCAGGCCAAGACCTTTTTATTTAAACGTTATTTTAATTAATTGCTGATTTATTTATTGGTTTTAAATTATTATGCCAGGATGTTTCCGTTTTTATGTATCTGTATTGATATTTATGTGTTGGAAGCCGCCCCGAGGCGTTTGCGAATGGGGCGGCACACAAGTATTCCAAACGAATGTTTAGGGGAGCACTGCTGCGGCCCCTCGACAGCGCTGGGCAGCCTTGGGCACCTCGGATCCCCGATCCAAGCTCAGAGACAGTGCATGGGCGGCTTTCTGAGGCTGGCCTTGGGGGGGGGGGGGGGGATGACAGTGACCCTGCTGGAAATTCGCTGGCCGATTTCAGCTGGATGCAGCAGGAGCTTCCGACTCCCTCAGCTTCCACAAGGTCGTCTTCTTCCCGACACCGATTCGCGCCGGAGGCTCTTCGCATGCTGATTAAAGGTTGGGGGGGTGTTACTACTGCGAGGGGGGGTCCTTCCCGCGGCCTTCACCAGAAGACAACAGGATCTTCATGCTTCACCCGTCAGCCTGGCCTCCGATGGGCACCTGATCCTGGCGGAATATCCAGGAAGGCCTGAGTCGGCCCGGGCTCGAAGAGGTGGGTGAACAGGCGGTGGCGGCCGTCCAGGCTTGGTGGCCTGCTGGCCACCGCAGAGAGCTTGGGGGCCACCTGGGCCCGCGGCTTTCCCTGGGAGGGCGGGGGCCTCCTCCGTGGACGCTGCCTCGCCAGCCACCGGCCTTTCATTTGGGCTGTGGGGCGACGCAGCTGCACGCGCCAGTCCGGACGAGGGGGCCCAGGACAGAATGGGCGGCGCGCACAGGGCGCCTCCCGCAGCCCCGAGGTCCTCCAGGCGTGCGCCTGCACCCGCTGGTCACAGAACTGGCTGGGAAGGGGCCGGATTCTCCAGGGTTCCACCCGGCGCTCCTTGTTCACCAGATTCATTTGTGCGCCAATGGACAAAACGCTGTTTTGAACAGGGGAAACGCACACTGTCTCCCCATCGAGGAAAACGTGAAAAGTGTGTTCCGTCGAAGGCACCGTTTGGCACCAACACAAGTTTGGCGATTTGCACGCCATTTTAGAGAACCTGCTGCCCTGTGGAGGGTTAGGCGCCCGCATGTTGTTTGAGCATAAACCAAATTCTCATAACTCCTCGAACCAACCGCAGGGGAAGGAACCTGGAGTGCACGCTGAGCGTGACGGAGTGCAGGATGCGAGCGCGGCCAGACCCTCTGGAGGCAGCGCCCAGGCCGTTGCACGGATTCACGCGTGCTTAAGCGGGAGGCTGCCGAAGACTCCAGCTGCCTGCGGGAGAGGACGCCTCCCTAGGAGGAGGAAACCTGGAAACGGTGGAGAGGAGGAGTGGAGAGGGCTGGAGCTCCAAATTGCCTGGCGGTTTAGAGAAAGCTCCAGAATAGGCGCCCCAGCAGCACATGCCGCGCTGGTCAGGAAGGAGCGCGGCAAGCCCACGAGGTCGCCGGCGGGGCTCATCAGCAGCGTCCCACAAGCCACCACAGAAAACCACGGTTCCCTGAGGACACAGAGGCCGTGTCCCCAGGAGGAGAAGTAGCAGGAACGCACACTCGCCTGGCGGGCACGCGATGGACGATCAGAGATGCAGAAAAGCCTTCCCAGGGGCAGGCTGCTAACACAGCAAGGTGACAATAAAGCACACGCTCTGGGAAGCTGGCTATGGATGCTGGGGGGGCTAAAGGAGGACGAAAAAAGGTAAGGAGACCGAGAGTCTAGTCTCCCCATCTGTGCGTGGGCAGGAGGTGCTCATGCTGCTTCTCAGATACCTCAGGCAAGCAAAACAGCTGACAAAAGACGGATTTTCCACCTGTGGATGAGGTTTACTTTGACTTCCAAGGACGTTATGGCAGCCCCCCCCCCCCGCAAATATTCCTGAGCAAAGGTCGCACACACGGAATAAGAGGAGAGCTCCTCTTTCAGGCTGGTGGCTGGTTAAAGATCAGAACCATGCAAGAACGAATGGTAGATTCTCGCCATGGAGAGCAGCAAGAGTGGGCCCCAAAGAACTGCCCTGAGGCTCCTGATTTTGGGCTTGTTCCTAACCGAGGAGTGCGCAGCGAGGCAACCAAGTGCATGGGTGACACCAAATTCTTTTGCATGGTTAAGAGAAAATGGGATTGTGAAGATCTCCAAAAGAACT